TCCTTCCCACAGCGAGAGTGAATCAGTCTGTCACTGAAGCTGCTCTCACAGCTGCTCTTACACAGGAAAACACACTTGAGACCAACCTTTGCTTCCAACCACAAGACAAATCCAGACTCCTGGTTCACATCAATAATCAATTTTGCATCAGACTAGACCAGTTTCTATGTCTCACATCGTATGTATGCAACAACCTCACAGACTGTCTCTTCACACACACACACACACACACACACACACACACACACACACACACACACACACACACACACACACACACACACACACACACACACACACACACACACACACACACACACACACACACACACACACACACACACACACACACACACACACACACACACACACACACACACACACACACACACACACAAAAACACACACACGCACAACACTTTGAGATAAACCTTTCCCAAAGCAGATCTCACAGAGGAGCAGAGATCACACATGTTCCCAGTCACAGTCGGAGTGAACACTCTGATAGATACCACAGAGGAAGGAAGTGTTTTGGAGCCAACGGGAGTCCAGGGGTCCCGGCAGGAACAAAGATGGTAGCTCATTTTATCATCATTATTATTACATTATATCATCAATTATATCATATAGCATTTGGACACTCCCAGATGCTTTTCAAAGGGGCAGGTCAATAAGAAACAAAAAAAGAGTAAAAAAAATACTTACGTGTAAGCAGTTTTGAACAGCTGGGAAGTCTCAGGGTCAATTTTGGTTGATCCTGAGCTGTTCAGAGGCTAAACGCTTTTTTTTAATTAAGATTATTTCACATGACAAAAGGTATTATCAGAATAAAAAAATAAAATAATGAAATTGAAAAAAGTAATTATTTGATTAACTATTGCAACACACAGTTTAGTGTGACAATATATTGATTTTTCAATATTAACGGCTTATTAACCGAGCGCGAGGTCTGTATGGAGGACCTTGGTCTGTATGGAGGACCTTGGTCTGTATGGAGGACCTTGGTCTGTATGGAGGACCTTGGTCTGTATGGAGGACCTTGGTCTGTATGGAGGACCTTGGTCTGTATGGAGGACCTTGGTCTGTATGGAGGACCTTGGTCTGTATGGAGGACCTTGGCCTTTTTGCACTGACCTCGCCACGGCTCGGTCTGTACATTAAGGTCTCGGTCTGATATTTCTCTGCACAGACCGAGCAAGCAAGGTAAATAAATGTTTTATAATATGACTCTCGTCTGTGTCTTTACCAATGCTTTTGAGATATTTGTGAAGTATGTTCATGTCCGACTTGGTTTTGTGTGATACGCGCTGCGGACAGATTGTCATGGTAACGGTCCGAGATGGGAAAATATCAGAGAAAATATCAGAGAATCAGCCAATCAGAGCGCGCGTACGGTCCAAGTCATATAATAAATTGCGATACTTTCTCCCGCGATCGATTATCAATATGCATTTGCCAAGTATCGATTTTGAAAAAGAAATTACTATTATTTTTTTATTTATTAGTATCAATACTTAATAAATGGCTACATTACACATCTCCATTCCATTTATCATGAAATAAAGTGTATTTTTTCACTTTTTCTATTTTATCTATGCCATAAATTGGCATATGGTATATTGCTGACCAATATATCGATTATCGTCATATTGTGATATTATCGTTATCGTGATATTATCGTTATCGTGATATAATCGTTATCGTGATATAATCGTTATCGTGATATAATCGTTATCTTGATATAATTTTTATCTTGAGCTTTCTATCGCGTATCGTATCATGAGGTACCCTTAGGTTCCCAGTTTAAAGATATAAACTATTAAATTTTGCTATATCAAACCAACATAAAGAGACATGACATTTATCTTGCAAGCACACTGTACACGCCTGATTTTACGTCACAAACTAAAGTGCAGCTGCTGACCTTCCAGGACTAACACTGACAGTTTGTGGCTTCCTCTATTTGGCAGAGAATAGAGTCATGTTTGGAACAAGTCTGGAGGTTTAACGATCTTTGACCACAAAAAACAGTCACCAACAAAGACCGCAACAAGGTAGCAGCAGCGATCACCGCTTCAACAGGAGAGAGAGAGAAAGACCTCAGAGAGAGAAACCAGAGTGAGGGAAACACCAGAGAGAGAGAGCACATGAGACCAGAGAGAGACCAGAGAGAAACCAGAGAGAAAGACCAGAGAGAAACCAGAGAGAAAGACCAGAGAGAAACCAGAGAGAAACCAGAGAGAGAGACCAGACAGAGAGACCAGAGAGAGAGAGACCAGAGAGAAACCAGAGAGAGCAATCAGAGAGAGAGACCAGAGAGAGAGACCAGAGAGAGAGACCAGAGAGAGAGAGACCAGAGAGAGAGAAACACCAGAGAGAGAGACGAGAGAGAGAGAGAAAGAGAGACCAGAGAGAGCGAGAGAGACCAGAGAGAGACCAGAGAGAGAAAAACACCAGAGAGAGAGACCGGAGAAAGATAGAGACCAGAGAGAGAGAGAGAGAGAGAGAGAGAGACCAGTGAGAGAGAGACCAGAGAGAGATAGACCAGAGAGAGCTATCAAAGAGAGAGAGACCAGAGAGAGAGAAACACCAGAGAGAGAGACCAGAGAGAGAGAAACCAGAGACAGAGAAACCAGAGACAGAGAGATCAGTTGCCTTGTGTATGAACTGTGCAATACAAATACACTTTTTTTCTTTTAATGAAGGACAGACACCTACAACGAGCCGAGGAAATGTGGTCAGGAAACTGCGACACATTCCAGGCATAGTGGGAACACGTAAGCACGGCACGCCCTCCACGTCATACAATTACATACTATTTAATATACATTTATGTTTCCGTAGCAACGCCGCCTGTCAGAGCTTATCGCAAATGACTTCAGAGGACGGAGTGGTTAAAGAGTGACTCACGTCCACTTCCACTTTGTAAACGGAGCTTTGCCATTAGTAAGTGAGTAGGTAATCTTTATCTATACAGCGCCTTTCAGAGACCAGAGTCACACACAGCGCATATTGGTCGGGGAAACCGGAGCATCCGGAGTAAACCTACGCAGACACGGGGAGAAATTGAAAACTCCACACAGAAAGGCCTGGAGGGAGAGAGGAACCAGAGAGAAAGACAAGAGAGAGAGACCAGAGAGAAAGAGAGAAACCAGAGCGAGGGACGAGAGAGAAGGAGAAGAGAGACCAGAGAAGGACAAGCGAGAGAGACCAGAGAGAGGGACGAGAGAGAAGGAGAAGAGAGACCAGAGAGAAACCAGAGAGAGAGCCCAGAAAGAGACCAGAGAGAGGGACGAGAGAGAAGGAGAAGAGAGACCAGAGAGAGACCAGAGAGAGCCCAGAAAGAGACCAGAGAGAGGGACGAGAGAGAAGGAGAAGAGAGACCAGAGAGAAACCAGAGAGAGAGCCCAGAAAGAGAGCAGAGAGAGGGATGAGAGAGAAGGAGAAGAGAGACCAGAGAGAGACCAGAGAGACCAAAAAGAGACCAGAGAGAGACAAGAGAAAGAGAGAAACCAGAGAGAGAGAAGGAGAAGAGAGACCAGAGAGAGACCAGAGAGAAACCAGAGAGAGAGCCCAGAAAGAGACCAGAAAGAGACCAGAGAGAGACCAGAGAGACCAAAAAGAGACCAGAGAGAGGCGAAAACAATTAGAAAAGAGTTTGAAAAGCTGGTTTTAAACTTAGACTTTCACATATGAACTACAACCACAGCACCCACAGTCATCTTCCCCAATATCAGTGACCTTTAAACTACAAAGCAGCTTTTGAAATGAGGAAAGAGGTTAGCAATTCCTCTTTTAACGATGGAGACCAGGACGAGCGGACTTTGTGAGTTTGTGAAGAGGTCAAAGTTAAAGGCACTGGACGTAGTTTGCAATTTACTGGTTTGATGAAGTCTAATATAAAACTTGTACACAATGTAACCGATACAAACTCTTGCTCTACAAACTGTTCTCTTATTTACTACATTTTATATGTTGTAAAAATAACCCAGAAAAAGCTAAAACCTCTCAGTAGTAGTTGTTTGTTATAAGGCTGTAAAACCCCTTAAAACACTTTATATACTACTTCAACACTTCAACTCACCACTGCCAAAGGGGGAGAGAGAGACAAGAGAGAGAGAGACCAGAGAGAGACCAAAGAAAGAGACTAGAGAGAGAGACCAGAGAGAGAAACCTGGAGAGAGACTAGAGAGAGAGCTCAGAGAGATAGACCAGAAAGAGACCAAAGAAGAAGACCAGAGAAAGACCAGAGAGAGGGACCAGAGGGACCGACCAGAGAGAGACCAGAGACCAGAGAGAGAGACCAGAGAGAGAAACCCGGAGAGAGACTAGAGAGAGAGCCCAGAGAGAGAGACCAGAAAGAGACCAAAGAAGAAGACCAGAGAAAGACCCGAGAGACCTGCCAGAGAGAGGGACCAGAGAGAGACCAGAGAGAAAGACTAGAGAGAGACCAGAAAGAGACCAAAGAAGGAGACCAGAGAGAGGGACCAGAGAGACCGACCAGAGAGAGACAAGAGAGAAAGACCAGAAAGAGAGAGACCTGACACCAGAGAGAGACCAGAGAAAAAGACTAGAGACCAGATGGAGACTATAGAGAGAGACCAGAGAAAGACCAGAGGGACCGACCAGAGAGAGAGACCAGAGAGAGAGACTAGAGATAGAAACCAGAAAGAGAAACCAAAGAAGGAGACCAGAGAAAGACCAGAGAGAGAGACCAGAGAGAAAGACCAAAAAGAGAGAGACCTGACACCAGAGAGAAACCAGAGGGAGAGAGAACAGAGACCAGATGGAAATTATAGAGAGAGCAGAGAGAGCAGAGAGGGAGACCGGAGAGATAATTGCTAACTAGCGTATTAGCATTAGCCCCTACTTCAAATTCAAATCTAAAGCTAAAGAGCACCCTTCATTCCTACTCTCTGTAAAGTGCAATACAACACAGAAATGTCCCCACCAATCACAGCACTCGTGTCAAAAAACCCCAGAATCCTCTGCGCTCTCACCTTTGCCGCGGCTCTGAGGACACCGAGTTGCAGCTCTGGACGGACAGCAGCGTGGAGGACTTGCGAGGCCCGAGCGGCGAGGGCAGCAGGCTGTTGTTGGACAGGGACGGGGACAGAAGGTTGGTGTCCTCTGGAGACGGGAACGAGCCTCGTCTCCGTCCCAGCAGAAGCCTCCCGTCCGAGAGACCAGAGTCAGACGGGAGAACGAGGATGGGAGGCACGTTCAGGACTCGAGGCACCTCTGAGACCTGAGGGACCGAGACAGAAAGAGACGCGAGAAATAGGTTGTGTGTTTATAATGCTTAGCAAAAACACGGTTATTGACAAAATAAATCTAATCGTGCTATACTATTTGCATCAATATCCACAAGGGAAATTATTTAAAACCTCTAAAATGTCCTAATTGCTAACTAGCGCATTAGCATTAGCCCCATTTCAAACCCTTTAATGCTCACCCCTTGAAGAAAGCAATGTATTTATTTCTTTTTTTATTTTCTAAGATGTAGAAGCACTAATAACTTCCTCTTTGTGTTTTATTATAGGCCTTCACCAAATGGTTTAGATGCAGTTTGATGGTAAAAGTGCCTCAAAACCAAGCGATAGAGATGACCCAATGAGGTAGATTTCAGTTCCAAGCTTCAATTAGATTCATGACTGAAAGAGTGATCCACCAAATGGTTGGGGAAACCATTAAAACAGTTCAATATTGTGCTGTGTGCTCCTCATTCTGTCTGTCCTGGGTTCCCCACTGTGGCACTGATAAAGGATCTTAATGATATGTCCGCTACAGCTGTCCGGAAAATTAGGACAGTCAGACAAAGTCGCCAGCTTTGTCTGATTTCTGATGGGATATGGGTTAGATTTGTTTTTAAAAATCACTAAATACACTAGAAAACAGCCTGAAATCATTGGGGGTTTTTTTTTTTCACTTATATCCAAGCTCCATACGGCAGCTGTTTATACAGATAGAGGATAATAAGTAAAGATGTATATACAACCAGCAACCGATTTTGTTCTAACCCGTGTATAAGATCTTCTCAAGTCGCATCATTCTGGCTTTGTTTTTATCCAATGTATTACTGAAAATCCCCCAGCTGTCAAAAGCTGTGCATACACTGAAACATATTCATCTGCAGGGGAGACACCAGAGAGAGAGAGAGAGAGAGAGAGAGAGAGAGAGAGAGAGAGACCAAAGAGAGAGACCAGAGAGAGAGAGAGCAAAGAGAGAGACCAAAGAGAGAGACCAGAGAGAGAGACCAGAGAGAGAGAGAGATACCAAAGAAAAAGACCAGAGAGAGAGACCAGAGAGAGAGAGAGATACCAAAGAAAAAGACCAGAGAGAGAGACCAGAGAGAGAGAGAGAGACCAAAGAAAAAAGACCAGAGAGAGAGAGAGAGAGAGACCAAAGAGAGAGACCAGAGAGAGAGACCAGAGAGAGAGAGATACCAAAGAGAGAGACCAGAGAGAGAGAGAGAGAGAGACCAAAGAGAGAGACCAGAGAGAGAGAGATACCAAAGAAAAAGACCAGAGAGAGAGACCAGAGAGAGAGAGACCAGAGAGAGAGACCAGAGAGAGATACCAGAGAGAGAGAGACCAGAGAGAGAGAGAGAGAGAGACCAGAAAGTTCCACACACTTCGTCAGCTCATAGTAACTGTGGTCTCATTATTTTCTCGTACTGATGTTGAGAAGTGGTGACAATATTCAAAAACACATTTGCATGATGGAGGCGAGTAGAAAGACGTCAGAATAAATACGGTGGCTTTGTGAATCTAATCCATTTCAAATAAAGATCTGAGGAAACATTTGCACGTTTTATCAACATTAATCAACATTTCTTTAAAAAAACTGCTTCATTCTCCCGAAGCAGAAGTCTATTACACAGTCATTGAATCCAGTATTCTGTAATTATTTTGCAAAATATTCTATGAAGAAAGTCTGAAATCTCTAACCTTAGTATAATATAGAAGCAAGTCTAAAATCTCTAACTTTATCATAATAAAGAATCAAGTACAATACAGTGCATGTACTGTATTCTCGTGCATAGTGCAATAGTTGTGTGTATACAGCATGAGAGTCTGGGACAAAGTGTCTTCTTTATTCAGTAAATAACTAAATATTACCTCTGCGTGTGTGAACGTCCCGTAGCCAGCCCCGGAGCTGGGGTGGCTTCCCGCGGGGACAGGGTCGCTGTGTCTCGGGTCGGCCTGCACGGGTTGTCCGTCCAGAGAGATGTTGGTGAGGAAGAGGAGAGCCGCCTGTCTACGTCTGGAGCTCTCCCGACTTTTGCGACTCTGCTCCCGGGGACAGAGCGCCTTCTTCCCGCTGACAGAGGCCGGCGGAGGAGGCTGAAGCGCGGCCGCAGCCATGGCTCTGTGTCCCCGGGCGGAGGAGATCACAGCTCCGGGAGCACAACGCGACACAAGCTGATGTCAAATCCTTTTACCCGGCGAGAGAGAGGCCACGCCCGGCTGGTCTGCCATTGGTCCGCGAGAGAGAGGGTTTTTCCCACTGCAGTTCTGTAGTAACAACAACAACAACATAATAATAATAATAATAATAATAATAATAATAATAATAATAATAATAATAATCATAATAATCATAATCATAATCATAATCATAATCATAATAATAATGGTTCAGTTTAATACAGCGCTTTTTGGACTCATAGACGCTTCACATGTTATTATTCATTCAATCCAAACACGTTGGTGATAAACTACTACTGTAGCCACAACTGCCCTGGGGCAAACTGACAGAAGCGAGGCAACCAGTATGTGTCAAACACCACCAACCATTCACACACACACACCAGACTCATTCTAATGTAGGTGAAGTGTCTTGCCTAAAGACACAACCACAGTTTGGTACTTTACGGCCGCAGTGGCCCCAATGTGGCACCTAGTGTTCCCAGAGGTCTCCCATCACAGTACTACTCAAACATGCAGGAGGCACCTCAAAGATTAAGATTAAAAAGAGGAGATTATTTACGTTGCAAAGGATGTAAACATTGATCCGAACTTTGTAGGGCAAGTGTATTGTAAAGCGCTTTGCATGACCTTTAAAAATGTGCTATATAAATAAGATGACTTACTTTATTCGTTAAACAGTGGGGAAATGTCAGAACATGTGTTACACGTCTGTTACAGAACAGTAGAAATGAGCCGTACACAGCACAAGATAATTGAACAAAAAGAATTGTCTAAGAATATACATTTTGTTTATATATATTATTCTGTTTTTAAAATGGTTGAAACAAGAATAATATAAGGGGAGATATTTAATTCTAAAAATCATTCTATATTGATTGATTGATAACAAATTAGATTAAATTAGGTGCTAATTAGAGTACCACATGGGAAATTGTCAGTAGATAGTTAGTGTTGAGTAAGGCTTTTTTCAGAAACAAATAGACCAGAGGTGTCGAGAGTGGACGAGGGGAAGATGTATCAGAAGTAAATTAGTAAGTAAGTCAGGGCTTCTCCTGAGCCTTTGCAGAATTGCGTTGGGTGAAAAGTGTGGTTCGTGTTGGCCCCGCCCCCTGCAGAATGTAAATAAGAAACAGAGGCGCAGATTACACAGGCTTCACTCAGCAGCACATACCATAAGATGACCTCATTTTCAGTCAGTGAGAATCAGCAACACAACATCAACAACATCAACACAACATCAGAGTTTTGGGAATAAATTATTTACTTTTCATTTACAGTTGAAGGAAAAACTAATTTATTGTTTTATGTAAGTTTCCCTTATTATTACTTTTGTTTCTACGCTATTAAATGTCTTACATGTATGTTATTTGACACAGATGAGCTTATTTCTTCACTTTGTTTTCATGTTTTAAAATGTGGATAAAAGTACTTGAATAAATAATATAGTAAAAGCACCCATTGAGCGCAAACTTCCGCCAAGAGGCATAGTTCGCTCCTTGAAAAAACAAAAAAATGCTTGGATCGGGATTACCTCCAAAAAAAGTGTCCTTTTTTCACCAGTTATGACATTACCCCCAGATGGAAGTCGAGATAAAAACGGAGTATGAGGTTAGAGGCGGCAACATTGTTGAAGTGGTAAATTCAATCAATCAATCTTTATTTGTAGAGCACTCTTCCTACACAGGACCAGAGAGAGAGACCAGGGAGAGAGACCAGGGAGAGAGACCAGGGAGAGAGACCATGGAGAGAGACCAGAGAGAGAGAGACCAGGGAGAGAGACACCAGAGTGAGAGAGACCAGGGAGAGAGATGAAGAAGATGACATAGTCTGGGATCGCGTCTTAAATTCAGACAGAAGACATGTTTTATTGTCGATGGTAGAGACAGCACGAACACAAACACAGATACAAGAGAATGCAAGTGTATTATACAGAGCGGAGGCATGGAGACCTCCAATCAGCAGCTGCCACGGTGTGCTTGTAAGTAAGTAAGTAAGTAAGTAAGTAAGTAAGCTTTATTTATATACCGCCTTTCACAGACCAGAGTCACAAAGCGGTTTACAATTGTTATTTTTTTGGGCACTTGTCTCTCACTCCACACAGAGATGGGAGCGGGGCCAGTACAGGAGGCGCATGCCAGACCTATTGTACATATTTTTAGTGGTAGGGGAAACCGGAGTACCCGGAGGAAACCTACGCAGACACGGGGAGAACATGCAAACTCCACTCAGAAAGGCCCTGGTCCGGCCGGGATTCGAACCCAGGACCTTCTTGCTGAGAGGCGAGAGTGCTATCCACTCAGCCACCGTGCCGTAGCTTGGCCTTCGGATAGACAAAACAAGGGAAAAGTACTGGCTTCTGCATATTGATAGAATGATGAGTTTAACTTTAACAAAAGTTGCTTAAAAGTGTTATGAAATCTCACAGAGACCAGAGAGAGCGAGACCAGGGAGAGAGATCAGAGAGAGTGACCATGGAGAGAGAGAGACCAGAGAGAGAGACCAGATAGAGTGACCAGAAGAAAGAGAGACCAGAGAGAGAGACACACCAGAGAGAGACCAGAAAAATAGAGACCAGAGAGTGACCAGGGAGAAAGAGAGAGACCAGAGATCAAGAGCATAAACATATTGACCAGAAAAAGACACTAGAGAGAGAGAGAGAAACACCAGAAAGCGAGAGACCAGAGATGCTGTATTCACCAGTGTTAGCATGCATTAAGGATTAAACTGCATTACTACTGTATGTCATCAGTTTCTCTCAGCTAATGTTACTCCTGGTCCATCATGACCCAGACTACCATCAACTGTCCCTCCCCTGGTTTCCCCCGCATGCCTGGATTTACCTGGCTCCGATTGGCTGTCTCCCTTTCAGGCGCCGGCTCTGATTGGCTGCTGATCCTTTGTTATGAAAGCTGCTGAATGGATTTTCTCCTGTGTGATCATCAGAGTGACACTAACTCGCATGCATCATACCACCACACACGGCCCCTGTAGACGAGGCTAAATATACCACATAGTACCAGCTCGGTAATCCTTATATACACCAGGATCAGAGTCACAACACCAGAGTGACGAGGAGATACTAATGAGACACTGACGTCAGGCTTATGGAACTGGGGGGGACTCCTGAAGGACACATATAAGGCAAAATGTCTCTCTTTTTAACCATTTTACAACATTCAATGAACATTCAATTCAATGTATATTTGTAGTTGTCTCGAAGGACTTCAAAACGGTTCAAACACAGGAAATCCAATGAGAACCAACACATAGGGTTAGGGTTATTGTTCCATAGAGAGCGGGATGACCATTGTCCAGAAATGTTCATAAATATTCTGGATCATCACTGTCCTTTGACCCTCCTGCATCGGCAAGTCACACCTCCAATAAAAAAAGTGAGAAATCTCTGGGAAGCTCATAGTGAGAGAGAGACCCACTCCTACAGACAGACTGGGTGTAGATCCAGGACTGAGGCTGCAGATCCAGGACTGAGGCTGCAGATCCAGGACTGAGGCTGTAGATCCAGGACTGAGGCTGTAGATCAATAACTGAGGCTGTAGATCCAGGACTGAGGCTGTACTGTAGATGCAGAATTTAACTCGAGCAATGTTTAGTACAACCAAAATACACCGATGTATAAAAATGTAGACCGCAATTAAACCAAACCGTTTTATGGTCTGTTGTTTAAATGAGGGTCTAAGGACAGTGGTGATGATCCAGGACACTCCACAATCCATTTTATCATTTCTTGTTTGAACTGTTTGATTCTCTGATCTGTGTCGACGAAGCAACAGTTTTGTAAAGTCCTCCGAGATAGCTACAGTTGTGATTTACAGCTGGATTGAATTGAATTGATTTTGGGTCTGTTGAAGAAGGTTATAAACAACACAAAAGTCACACCAGGGACAATACGTTGCATAACTGTACTGTCCAGTTTTGGAATAGCCTCCTAACAAACAGAAGAGAATGTCCAGCTGCTGATTCATCTCAAATAGGCTGAATAGATAAAACGTCAGCGATTATATGTGTGTGGGTTTCAGCCCAATGCTACAATCCTGGACTTTTATACTTTAAATAATCTCAGAATGCACAATACAGAACCACATATATATTTCTTGCACTGACTAGAATATACCGTTTTTTATTCTTGCGTCTTTATTATGCTAAAGTCTGATATTCTACACTTAATTTTTCCTTCTTTGTTACTCTAAAGTTGAAGATTTTAGACTTGCTTCTTTTTTAAGCTAAAGCTAGAGATTTTACTTTATTTTAGAAGTTATTGTTCATTTATCATGTGCTGTGTGCTCCTCATTCCTACTTTTCTATAACTGGTGATGCAACACTGACATTTCCCCACTAAAGGATCTCTTCATTAATCTTCCCATTCAAAAGATACAATATTATGATGGCTAATAATGCAACAGTCCTCATTCATAATCCTGAAACCCGAGTCGAGCTGATCCCATTGACATAACAGGCCGATAATCACCAACACACACTGCTCCCATATGATCACACACACACTTACATAACACTAGTGAGTAATGCTGATGAGGTTCACTGGGGCTGGCACAGCAGCAGAGCCATAGGGCACACTGCAAAGCATCATGGGAAGAAACCCACTCCATGTACAAAAGCTGGGTCAATAGATACAGACAGAGCAGCAGCAGCAGTAGTAGTAGCAGTAGTATTTAGTCATGGCATTCATTCATGCCTTCACTCAAAGCAGAAATACTATATTGGTGTGGAGGGGTTTACACTGTTTTGTTTAGTGATGTTTGGTGCCATCTTGTGGAGAGAAATTGTACTTCTATAAAAAATAAATAAACAGGGCCTTCTAATCTTTCCACATTGAAAAAGCATAGAGATGCTTTTTCAATACAGAAAAGACTCCCCCATAGACCAATATCTATATGTTCTAGAATTTTTGTGTTTGACACGGTTTGATTCTGTGACATGTGTTGGTAATTTCAGCGGTTTTGTTAGATAGTGGTTTTGAGCTATAAAAGAATACATTAAATTGAATTGAAAAGAGAAAATAATGTAATAGTGTATGACTTCACCCAGCTCACCATTAAATTCAAAGTTAGCTCTATGCATGTGATATCGTAGGCCTCATTCCCACTAAAGCAAAATACTGGAATTTTGACCCAAAACCCTGTAGTGCCCTTTCCCTCCACACTGAGCAAATGGGCTGGTGTGTCAAAACGACTTGGGCCTAATGTTTCAGGGGGTTAAACGCCAGCGTTGAGAAACAGCCTCCAGTGTTGTATAGTTCCACTGCCCACTACTGGCCGGGCACTAGAACTACAATGTTTTTTTAATAATAATAATAATGCACTGGTTTTATATAGCGCTTTTTTGGACACTCAAAGACACTTTACATGTCATTATTCATTCACTCCATACACAGTGGTGATGAACTACTACTGTAGCCACAGCTGCCCTGGGGCACACTGACAGAAGCGAGGCAACCAGTATGTGCCATCGGCCCCTCCGACCACCAGACTCACACACACACCAGACTCATTCTAGGCAATGGGGGTGAAGTGTTTTGCCAAAGGACACAACGGCTGTTGTGGAATTCAATAAAGGAGCCTGGTCGTTTTTGCTTATTGCTTTCAGCGTCTCTATAGTGTCTGTGTAAAAGGGGCCTAAGATAAAAAACTTTGACTCACAATGGAGACATTTTTAATGTCACATTTGGCATAGATAGAATCACGGAATTGTGCAAAAAGACATGTGGTGTGCAAACATATTGAAAAGGTCAACAAGATAGTTTCTTTTGTCCAAGATATATTATGTAGCTGTTTGAGCTTTCAGTCCTAGTGCAGGTCATTATAGTAACTTATTGTACAGTCTGACAGCGGTGAGGATAAATGCCCTGCGGTGGCGCTCCTTCTTGCACTGAGGGTGCCTCAGTCTTCCACTGAAGGAGCTCCTCAGCTCCTCTACAGTCCTGTGCAGTGGGAGGTGTTGTTCATGATGGAGGTGACTTTGACTAGCACCCTCCTGTCCCTCACCTCCTCCACAGAGTCCAGGGAGCAGCCCAGAGTGGAGCTGGCAGCCTGTTTTAGCGTAGTGTATGGCAGAGGCTACCACAGAATCATAAAAAGTCCTGAGCAGAGACCTGCTAAAGTCAAGTACCATCTCCTTGGTCTTACTGGTGTTCAAGCACAAGTGGTTGCGCTCACACCAGTCGAGTCCATGATAACTGACAGATATTCCAGTTCGTACCACTCAGACACACAGCCTACGATGTAGGGTCAAAGATGAGCATATTTTATTTTCAAATGCATTTATCTCAGTTTTCCAGAAATTTTAAAACAATATATGATTCCTTTCCAATCCTTGTACAGTTTGCGTCATGCAAATCAATCTTTTTTTGTCGTCCCAAGAGTGAAAAAAGAAGCTGGAAAACATGCATTTGAATTTAAAGCTCCGTCTGGAACAGTTTGCCGTTGTCTATTCGCTCTCTAACTTCTCTGCCTCTGTTTAAAACTGTTCTGCTACAATATCTCCAGAATTCATGTCAAAGTTTTTGATCGTAGGTTATGAGACCTAAACTTGTCTTTACGGTCTCCTAATTATTGTTATTACTATTATTAATAGTATTATCCTTATTTAGTGTAATTACAGTACAGTCACAGCGTGTGTGTGTGAGTGATTGAGGGTTTATGTGTGTGTATTTTTTAACTTGTTTTTTTTATGATTTTCTTGTATTTTTGTTTGTTTGCATGTTTTATTTTATTTTATCTTAAATTTATTGCCTATTATCTGAAATAAGACTTTGATGTGTGCAATCTGAGTGCTCTTATTTCCTTTCTCTGCTGTAATGTGCGCAACAATGACACTGAAATTTCTCCACTGTGAGACTAATAAAGGTTTATCTTATCTGTTTTGCTGTATCTGTCACTTTGTGAAATCTTGAGGACCCCCTCGAAAATGAGATGGTTCATCTCAAGGGGCTTATCCTCTAAATAAAAAAATAAAAAATAAAAAAATTGTCTCGAGTCAAAAAAGTACACTTATAATCCAAATAAATATCAGTGAGGCGGTCTGAGGCAGTAGTAAGTCGCTTTACTGTTTATACAAATATGGCATTAGGACAAAAGGAACAAAAACACCCAAACAGTCAACAGTTTTACGGCTGCCTTTACCTCTCGCTGGTCTGGATGTTGGGTTGGCACGATCACAAACAGAAGTGAAATCATGGAACATTTATGCCAAAGCTGAGATGTAAACAAAACAAAATACCTTTATCATTATCATATGGACCTTGGCTTTTGGATTTGTGTTGTTGCCGAGAAGTATAGACAGACCACAAACTGAACATGCATAAATTCAGCCATTTTGGAGAAATATCTATTGCCCCGTTTCCACCAGCCCCACTCGGCCCAACTCTACCTGGTTGTGTCATGAATCTATAATAGTTGGGCCAAGAGCTGATTTTTGGACCATCCTGTAAAGCTGTTTTCAAGTGGTAAGAAGACACCATACAAAAGCATTGAATAATTCTCTGTCTGGTTCCACCCCCCCAGATAAGAGTGGTATTGCAGGTGTGAGCCGGGACCCACCCCCACCGATGGAGACCCACATTCTACTCATTAAACACAGGGATCTGCTCCCGCAAAGTTAGTAAGTAATTACTTAAGTAATTACTTAAAAGCGTATTTCTTGTCACACGCAGCCAACAACGTCTGTTCATGATAAACCATGGTAGATACTGAATGCAGGAACAATCATATCATGAGAATGTTCTCTCATAATAGGAGCAGGCCGCAAACACATTGCACTTCAGGGGGCGGCGTGATGTGAACACACTCAGTGGCACAGAAAATGCCGGAGAAAGTATATTTTTGTGGTAAAAAGTGTAGGTAGGGTAGGGCAGAGCAGAGCAGGGTAGAGTAGAGCAGGAAAGGTAGAGAAGGGCAGAGTAGAGTAGGTCTGGTGGAAGCTGACCTACTTATGACATTCTTGTTATATATATATTATATGGGTTTAACATGCAGCAGGTATTTGCAATATTTTGAGCCAAAATATTATGAATTTAGTTTCACTTATTGCTCTTGCACACTCAGATCCAAAATTCAGGCAGTCAATGGTTACTTTTGGGTCCATTACAGTTAAATCCAATGTTTTCAAGTCAATTTCTAAACAAAAGTCACCTGATCAGAACAGAGCAGATCATTTACTTCGACAAAAAAGCAAAATAAAGCATGAAACATAGAAAATTATAAAATTCCCCTTAACGTGCAGACAAACAAACTCCTATACATACAAAACATATGGCAATAATCTACAAGATCTTCAGAAATAAAAAGACAAAATAAAACTAAGCTCAACTTCAGTGTTCATAACAGTTCTATTATGGCGTTTCACAATCCAATGCAGAAGCTAAATGCTAACGCACAAGTAGCATTTCTTTCACTCTTCTAGGGTACTGTGCAAAGGTTAGAATCACAGCCGTTAGAAACAAATATCAATGTTTTGACAGAAGTTCATTCATAATAATTCAGATGTTCTGGGCAAGTCACAAAATGGACAATACCCCCCGGGGAAGACCCAGGACACACTGGAGGATGGGGGTCTCTCAGCTGGCCTGGGAATGTGTGTGTGTGTGTGTGTGTGTCGCTGCTCATACTGCTGCCTCCACAGTCCAGCTCCGGATAAAATCAAACGGAAGAAAATGTAAGTATAATTGGGTTCATGAGTTTGTGTCTATGTTGTAGAGTTCGATTTCAGTATTTCAGTAGGTACCAAAGCTTGTTTTAGTAATGTTTCAGGCAAATTTTGAGACAAACAGCTTTAAAATGAGGCCAAGGTAGTAGCACATTGGCTATAGTCTCCCATTTATTTCAATAGGTTTCGGGCCCCCACTCTGCAGTTTGCCCAATAAAGTCCAAACCTTATGTAATCTAATCTACCATGTGAACCTGCTGAGACTGAGGAGCACAAGGACTGGCCTCCTGCGGGTCCTAGAGTCAGGACTAAACTCAAAGAGACAGCAGTTCAGATTTATGCAGCTAAAATCCATTCTTCCTGAAAATGTGAGACAGGCTTCATCTCTGACAAAGTTCAAATCCAGGTTAAACACAGCTCTGTTTAGCTACAACAACAGAAGAATTGTATCAGCACTCTGCCTTGTTTGATTGTTTCTTTCTTGTTTTGTTAAGCACTTTGACCTGACTTTTGTGTGCACGGTGCCATCTAAATAAACTTGCCTTTGCACAGTACCTTAATACCAAATATACATCTTGCATTCCTATAACCTGATTCAGAAACAAGCCTGCGCATAGACTTAAAAAATCTGCAAAATATTCCTCTATTCCGTGATTTTGGCGGTGAATCAGGTTTCAGTCAATATACATGGTTTTAAATATGCGCCGTCCATCTTGGAGCTACCCAGACTGCCCTCCGAGGCTGTTCTTTTGGAGGGGGTTTAAGCGCGCAAGTTGTAGTTCCCCTGAGTGTCCATTATGGCGCGGTGGGGGAAGGAGGGGGCAGTATCATGCTGTGCAGCATCGGTCCTGGAACAGCTGCTCCACCACAGAGGTGTCAGCCAGCGTGGATATGTCCCCCAGGTCCCGCTCGCCGCACGCAATCTTCCTCAGCACCCGACGCATTATTTTACCTAAACAAAAAGAAAACACTGGTTAGATCTTAAAGATGAAGAAATCCTTAATTTTTTCCACAGTGAGAAAATGTCAATGTTGTATCCACCAGTTAAAGGTTAATACGAATGAGGAGCACACAGCACAAGAGACGTAAACAATAACTTTATACAAAAACAAAATAAAATCACAAGAGGTAAAAATTAGGAGATTTTGACTTTAGTGATGCCCGCAACTTCAGTTGTATTTCATTTGGAAACTCTTTCATATTCTTGACCATCTGAGCTACTAGTATCATCTATGTTAAGTATTTTTTCATAATATATTTAAAACCCGTGTCTTGGAGTACGCCTCACTATATGTTAATAAAAATATAGTCATTTACAGACATTACTCCCGTGTGAATGCAATGCAAGTATCAGGAGGGGCGGTAATTTGAAAATTACCAGAGGTCCACAGGTAAAACTAATCCTGTGCCGGATAGGGCTACATTTTTACAATTTGAAAATGAACTCTTCGCGTGAACTCCCTCTCGGCCTTACGCACCAGATCTCGTCTTGGGGAGTCCAGGTGCATTCTGGATGTAGTCTGGTGTAGCTATGGCACCAATCTTTTCCCTCACTGTAAAGACAAAAACACACACACACATGGTGTTGGGTCATCATATAGAACCGAGGCGTTTAGCTGCCTCTCAAGTATGAAAGAGAAAAAATCACTCTCTAATATTACTACTCCATTCCACCTTAAACCTTTACGTTACAACTCCCTTCCTCCTTAAACATATGATAAGATACAATAAACTTTATTGATCTCACAATGCACACATCTGCATAAAAATTCAAACCTGGGGTGTGCAAAAAGACAAGAAATGTGTAAACATGTTACAAAATGATTGTCTCTTTTGTGCAAGATCTTTTACAGATCTTTTAAGGGACCCCACTCCCATCTCTGTGTGGAGTGAGAGGAATAATGCCCAAAAATAACAATTGTAAACCGCTTGGTGACGCTGGTCTGTGAAAGGCGGTATATAAATAAATACTTACTTTCATACAATAAAGAATATAAGTGACTATAGCAGTGAGTTCAGTCCTAGTGAAGTTTTAACATTAATAAAAGGTTGTGGTCTGTCTTTGGAGTAAAACTGTGGAATGATCTTAATTATCAGCTTAAGTTAATAAATACATTATATAAATAAACATTAATGAACATTCAAAACTACGTAAACATGTGAAACAATTCATTCATAAACTTTGCCTTAAAAAAACAAAAAAAAACAAACAAAAAACAAAAAAACTCATTGTAGTGTTATGAGTTTGAAACCAGTAATTTGTATTTTATTTTATTTATTTTACATAGTTGTGTTTAAGTGGCTAATGACCTCTACGTGACGTGATGTCAGGATGGGCTTACAGCAAGTTGCTTCAGCCCAATTTTTTGGTTGTAATTCAATCAGTGAATGTATTATCTGTTATTAATCAAAAAATTCCACAAAAATAAATACAAATAAAAAGGGTTAGGGTTCATTCCACCTTAAACCTTAAAATGATCAATTCCTCCTCTCTAAGTTCAAACCCTCTGGTCTCGTACCTATATTGCGGAGCTGCGTCTCCAGCGTGCGTCCGTAGTCCACTCCCTCTCGGAGCGTAACAAAGCAGTACAGACTCTCCCCTTTAACAGGATGTGGACGTCCCACCACTGCTGCCTCTGCCACACACTCGTGCTCCACCAGCGCAGACTCCACCTCCGCCGTGCTCAACAAGTGCCCTGCAGAACGGCAGAATGCTTCAGAACCAAGACATGTGTGTGTATGTCTGACAGAGAAGTGAGGGACCCCAGCTTTAAACTAACCTCAAACCGAAGGTTTTTAGATACATAGAACGCCTCGCTCTTACCAGACACATTCAACATGTCGTCTATCCTCCCAGTGATCCAGTAGTAACCATCTTTATCTCTTTTGCAGCCTGGGGGACATAGATTTCAAGTCATTTCATACAGATAGATATATATTTTTATGTATTGCAGTGGTAGTCCTTTCCCTACCGTCTCCCGTGACATAATATCCGGGAAACTTCTTAAAATATGTGGTTTCGAATCGCTGCTGGTTCCCGTACACAGTCCTCATGATGCCCGGCCACGGCTGTTTGAAAACCTGACAATCACAGACAAAAAAGATAGTGTTTTGGATGTTGTGTGACTATGATTGGTTCTATTGAAGGTTGCACACACTGACCAGGTATCCCTCACTGGGTCCCTCCAGCTCCTCGCCGGACTCATTTAAGATGGCGGGAACAACTCCAAAAAATGGAAACGTCTTGAAGGAGAAGAATAAAACATGTAAATGTGAGACAGACCTTTGCTTTCACAAAACACTCAGATCTACTCACTGCGGATCCAGGCTTCATGGGCGTGGCTGCAGGGAGCGGCGTCAAAACATGGCCTCCCTGGAAAAAACGTAACTTTAACTGAAGGTTCCTTCACCTCCGCTCCAGCCAATAAAACTTTTCAGAGGAGGGAACTAGCAAAAATGTGAGGATTATGGATTATGATATTTGGGACACAATTCAATATTGTTGCGATTCTTAACATAATGCGATACAGCAAGTATTGTGATTAGATTCTGTGATATATTGTGATTCATGTCCCTCATAGTATTCAAAGACATTACAAACATGAAGGACACAGGACCTTATATCTCGTTCAGACCGGACTATGCATTGCGTCGTGTTTCAAAGCTGTGTCAATGGTGATGCCCGTCAGTGTGAGGAATTGCAGACTAAAGACACTCGAAAACTGCCAGAACAGGATCTAAACGAGGATTATACAGGAAATAAACCAGGACTGACATTGGGGGACATTGCTTGTGAACATATTGCCTCCAGCCTGAGTTCTCATTCTCCGGTGACTGCAAAGTGCTATGTTAAAGGTATAGGTTAAAGTGCACTTTATTAATCCCCGTGAGGCAATTCATCCTCTGTATTTGACCCATCCTGATGCCACTAAAGGCGCGTTCAGACCAAAAGCTTCAAAAAGCTTTTGACGCGCTTCAACTGACGCCGGGATAGTTTTGTCATTTTGGTGCTTGAAGCTTTTGACGCGAGTGACGCGCCTGACGCCGGTGGGAGGAGCTTCTCTGTTGTCTGTAGTCAGGATAGCGGTGGATTTTTCAATGAGCAGCGAGCCTTTATTTGTTATATAAAGCAAAATAACGTTGTTGTAGGGCTTCAACAAAACATGTTCTGGGTTCACCACAGACTTGAGAGGCTGCAGTGTTTGCAGAGTTCCGTCATTTACTCCCGGAGCTGCGTACGGAGGAGTTTCGCTTTCAGCGGTACTTCCGCATGTCACTCGCCCAGTCTGAGTTCTCAAACCCCGGCTCTCGCCTCTCCCCGCCTCTCGCTCTCGCCTCTCCCTGCCTCTCCCTGCCTCTCCCCGGCTCTCGCTCGCCTCTCCCTGCCTCTCCCCGCCTCGCTCTCGCCTCTCCCTGCCTCTCCCTCCTCCCCGCTCTCGCTCGCCTCTCCCTGCCTCTCCCCGGCTCTCGCTCGCCTCCCCCTACCTCTCCCGGCTCTCGCTCGCCTCTCCCCTGCCTCTCCCCGGCTCTCGCTCGCCTCTCCCCTGCCTCTCCCCGGCTCTCGCTCGCCTCTCCCTGCCTCTCCCCGGCTCTCGCTCGCCTCCCCCTGCCTCTCCCCGGCTCTCGCTCGCCTCTCCCTGCCTCCCCCTGCCTCCCCCTGCCTCTCCCCCGGCTCTCGCTCGCCTCTCCCTGCCTCTCCCCGCCTCTCGCCCGCCCGGAGCTGCCTTGCTCTGAGCCAGACTCATCGTCAGCCTGTTCTTATATTAAATAAACTACGTTTGCTACACAGCATGTGTACAATGGTTTTTGTTACTCAGAATTTTACTACTCATACAAATAATATTACTAATAACAATAATGACAATAAAACAGCAGCAGCAGATACATGACTTCTCTCCATGACAGAGACAGACCCTCTGCTGCTGCTGCTCCTCGTCTCCTGATTGGTTGAAGCCCGCGTCAAAGCTTCAAAAGCTCAGCTTTGCTCAACTTCGGCGTCAAAGGGATTGTTGTGATACGCGAGCGCGTCAAAAGCTTCGACGCGCGTCAAGTGACGCCGGGGCTCTCGGCTTCACCTGACGCGCTTCACCATTCACTTTCAATGGAAACCTGACGCTTTTGACGCCGAAGTTAAGTCCGGTGTGAACGCCCCTTCAGGCTTACGTCAGGAGCAGTGGTCGCCGTGGTACAGAGCCCAGGAACCCATATCCAGATGTTGAAGCTCGGCTTGGTCAGGACTACCAGAGCTGGAGGATTTTACCTCGAGTGCATGTTTTTAGTGGTAGGGGAAACCAGAGCACCTGGAGAAAACCTACGCAGGCACGGGGAGAACATGAACACTCCACTCAGAAAGACCCTGTTCCGACCTGGATTTGAACCCAAAACCTCCTTGCTGAGAAGCGGGAGTGCTATCTACTCAACCACCGTGCCGCCCCAGCAAGTTAGTGCTGCTAACGTGTTTGCCAACAACTATGTTTTTAATTTATGTTTAAAAAAAACAATTAAACAATATCGACTAATATGAAACACTTATTTTGTGATTCCGTTTTTAGCCATATCGCTCAACCCTACAAGACAGAGAAACAACACACACACACACACACAAAGATATGCACCCCGGTTCCAGCATGTCCCACCAGGAGGAAGGATTTTGTCTCTCAGCTGGCCTGGGAATGCCGAGGGAAAAGCTGGAAGTGGTGTGTGGAGAGAGAAGTCTGGGAGTCTAGACCGAACAGAAGGTCTCTCACCGTCTCCGTCTGCCAGAAGGTGTCGACGATGGGACACCTCTTGTCGCCGACCACGCTGTAGTACCAGTGCCAGGCCTCAGGGTTGATGGGCTCTCCCACTGTGCCCAGGACCTTCAGCGAGTCACGCTTATGTCTGCGAAGAAATCAGACCCGCAGGGGAATTAAAGTATATGGAAACAGACGAGAAGATGCTACAATGTCTGTCTAAAAGTATATATCTAAGTATCTAACCATCTATATAAGTATTTAAGTATCTATCTATCAAGTATCTATCAATCTAAGTATCCATCTAACTATCTATATATCTACATTTCTATTCAAGTATCTATCTGTCTAAGTATCTATCCATCCACATATCTATTCAAGTATCAAAGTATCCAAGTATTTATCTAAGGATCCATTTATCCAAGTATCTACTGTATCTTTCTCAGTAAGGCAAGGCAAGTTTATTCGTATAGCACAATTCATACACAAGGCAATTCAAAGTGCTGAACAAAACAAGATAGCATTAAAATCATAAATAATCACAGTACATTAAAAAGAACGATAAAAATATAAAATCCCTCAGTTGTATGCACAGCTAAACAGAACCGTTTTAAACCTGGTTTTAAACATTGTCAGAGAGGAGGCCTGTCTCACATCTTCAGGAAGATTGTTCCAGATTTTAGCAGCATGAATCTGAAAAGCAGCCTCCCCATGTTTAGTTCTAACTCTGGGCAGTAACAAGAGCCCCGTCCCTGTGCTCCTCAGAGTCCGGGCTGGTTCATATGGTACTAACATGTCACTAATATATTTTGGTGCGAGGCCATGGAGAGACTTGTACACAAGCAGAGCTGTTTTAAAGTCTATTCTCTGAGCCACAGGAAGCCAGTGCAGAGACCTGAGTATCTTCCTATCTATCAATCTAAAAGCTGGTCTACAGAATGGTGGTGGACCAGCTGCATAAAGTGTGTGGTGGGGGTTTTACAGCCTTAAAAAAACCATAACTGCTATTTCAGACTTCACTTATTGCGGGTTATTTTTGAAACAATGGGCAGTGATGCGTTTAAGAGCTCAGGGAACAGCTAAAACCTCATTCCTACTGTTCTGTAACTGATGACATTTCCCCTCTGTGGGACAGATAAAGGATCTCTTCATCTATATCTTAAAATTGTAGTATGTAGTATAAGTGTATCATGTCGTTCAGGATCAACACACAGTCCCTCTCGGCGAGTGTCCTGCGATACTCGTGCTATATGAATAAACGTCACTCACTTGTGCACTGGCTCGCTGCCGTACTTCATCAGCAGCCTGATGGCGGTTGGAGCCGTGTAGAACTTTGTCACTTGATACTTGTCCACAATCTCCCACATGCGTCCCACATCCGGGTACGTGGGCAGCCCCTCGAACTGGACACAACACACAGGTAAGTAAGTAATCTTTATCTGTATAGCGCCTTTCACACACCAGAGTCACAAAGCGCTTTACAATTGTTGTGGGCCTTCGTACCTCACTCAACACTGAATCCTAAAAAAAAATAAAAAACCTGATAAAACATGTAAAAATGGCTATAATCATGATAGAATGTTTTTTTTAATCATAATTGAGCAGATTCTGACCGCTATAGTCTATTCTCTGAGCCACAGGAAGCCAGTGCAGAGAGAGTTTGTAGTGTTAGTATGGTGTCAACACTAGTGCTCATGGCGCTCACTGACCAGGAGGCTGGTGGCCCCATTAGCCAGGGGCCCGTATGTGATGTAGGAGTGTCCGGTGATCCAGCCGATGTCCGCGGTGCACCAGTACACGTCCTGCGGCTGGTGGTCGAACACCAGTTTGAAGGTGGTGGCTGTGTAGACCATGTACCCGCTCACAGTGTGGAGGACGCCCTGCACGCAACACACAAACACATAAGCAGTGTTTACAAAGCACGAGTGAAAACTGAAGCCTCTTCAATCTCTTTCTCCACCTTAATTGGAGAAACCTATGTAAACGTGTGTGTGTCAATTGAGTCTGGTGAGTAATCCTGATAAGCTGCATGTAAACACAATTGGATCCTTATGAGACATTGGGCAATGATGTGTTTAAGAGCACAAGAAAAAGCCAAATTTAATAATATAACCTAATCCATAATTGCAGTTCATAAGCAGCAGTACCTTGGGCTTGCCGGTGGAGCCGCTGGTGTAGAGTATGAACAGAGGGTCTTCGGAGTCACACCACTCTGGCTCGCACTGGTCCGAGGCTCCCTTCACCAGTGTGTCCCAACACTGGTCTACGTCTAGGTTCCACGACACCTACGGCAAGACGGCAGGGATAAACTCAACAGTGTCCACAACCTCAACCCTCTGACCGGGGGGAAAAAAAAAAAAAACGTTTCCAGAAACACTGGAGTGAAGGAGGTTAGTGTGACAAAGCTGCAAGGTGAGATGCTAGCATAGGCCTGTCGCGATAGTCAATAAATCAATTAATCGCACGATAAATAAAATTTGCTCAATAACTTTTCTGGCCGCGATAAGTCCCATTTTCATGCTTGTTTGTTTTCCCCCTCTCTCTCGGGTCAGAGAGCCGCAAAGTGGTCACAGGAACATTAGCGGTCTAGCAAGCAGACGGAAATGACTCAAAAATACAAAATACAGCCAAAACAGGACCTAAACCAGGACTTAACCAGGATTGACAATGGGGGACACAGTAGTTGTGAACATATGCCGGCAGCTGAGTTCTCATTCAGGCTTGATTAGTGACTATACTAGCGCAGCTAGCGTTAGCGTGTTCGCCGATGCAGAAGTACCGTACCAATAAAATAAACTTATGGCGCACCTCCGTGAACACATACTGCTGTTATATAAAGTCTCTAGAAGGTCTCTGAACACAGAGATGCTGCAGACTTGCATTCTTGGAGTAGAACTTTACACAAAAAACCCGCTAGCTTAGCTGTTAGCATCAAAGCTCGCCCCGCTACTTCCGGTGGGCGCTACCGCAGCAGGACTTCTGTACGCCCCATTGGTGAACCCACATGTCAGTCACTTGTCATTCGCCTGGTGTGTGGGGAGGTGGGACTACTCCTGAGAGATCCTGTCTTAAGCAACACAAAGTCAACATGTTGGTATTTCTTTCTCGTAATCTGTCATAAAGTCTGAGAAATTATTGACATTTGAGGCATCTGTTTCATATTTTCTTAACAAAGGTCCTGGCAGTTTTATTCCTGGTCATTTTTTGTTAAGAGACTGAGTCTATGTTATTTATTGTTTTTGGTTGTTTGTTAATTTATTGTGTTCTAGCGTTAAATATTCGTTAAAAATAAAAGTTTATTCTCTTTGAAAAGGTGTACCTGCATTATCATTCTAATCGATGCAAATGATCTCAGAACGTCAATATAATCGCTTATCGCAATAATTTCTGAGACAATTAATCGTCCAGCAAAATTTGTTATCGTGACAGGCCTATGCTAGCAACCAGCTTCAGATACAAGCTACGACCAGTGGTAATGTTATAAAAAAGGTTTCTGTTCCAATGTGGGAAGGAAAAAAAGTTTAAAGCATTCAGAAAGTAGCACATTACCTGCCTGAGAAATAGACAATGAACGCTAGTACTTAAACTTTATTTATTTTCAGATTAATTTGTTTTATATATATTTTATTTTGAATTGAAAAAAAAAAAAAAAGCTGCACAATTTTGGGAAAATATCCTGTTGTGATATTTCACCTAATTTTCATGGTTGTTTATTTTAAGGGACAGTCAGTATCATACTTTGGCTATAATCTGGCATGTTTACATTCATGTTTCTAATGGGTCTGTTCATTGACATCCACTGTCTCATTCAAATAAATAAATAAATTCAAACAAAGTAGTCATTACAACTTTTACTGCTAGAATCTTCCTGCCTTTGGCATATGTAGCTCCTATGCTCCATATGTAGGGCTGGTTACTGATGCAATCCACCTGCTGGGGTTTAGCAAGAACCTCAACTAACCCTCTGTATTGTGTGTGACTACTTATGTCTGTATTTGCCTTCATATAAATGTGTGGCTAGGGTTAGGGAGTCCTCGATCTACAGCTTCAGCCTGGGTCCTTCTTCCCTCTGGTGGAAGATATTGTTGGCTGAGATGCAGGACAATTAGATATGCTACACCTTCTTTACACAAGCTGTTATCAGTCTGAACAATACACTTTCATTCCTGTACTTCATGTCTGGTGCACACTGGGAATTTTTGTACATATGTATTCCAATGTGGTTTTACTGAAAATGGCAAATAAACTGAATCAAGATATCAAAAAACTAATAGTGTGATGTTGGCCCAAACACAGGGACCTGTAAATACCAGTGAGTTCAGGAGAGTGTGATTTGGACCAGGAGACAGCCACGAGACAAAAGAGAAAAATAAACGTTACTACTACTACTACTGTTACTACTACTACTACTGTTATTTATTCCACAAATTTCAGACAGCAAAGGTACACAAGTCTGGCTTGAAGCTGGTTTCATTTCACTGGAAGCACCTCAAAGAGGCAGTGAAATGCAACAGCAGAGGCACTAGGGGGCGCCAGCATAGCTAATCCAGACACAAAAGAAAAACTTTGGTTCAAATGCATTTACAGTGGTTTTTTACTGTAATGTAGAGTCTGATCTAGATATAACTGAAATTAGGGATGGGCAATCTGATGGAACAAATGATCGGTCTTTAGGTTTTTCACACTGCATTGAATCTGAGGCTCAAAAATGAACATTGTATATTTTAAATGTGAATATGTCCTTTTCAAATTTTAAATCACAATGAAATTCGTAAACTGGGACTAAAATTCAAAGACAAAAATATCAAAATTTGCTTTTTCATGGTTCAAAATTTTCAATGGAAAAATTTATTCAAAATCTGACGTAAAAAACCTTCCTTAGTGTAGCTTTAAAACAACATTAGCCATCCCTAATATCACTGTACTCCAATTTCACAATTTCTCTTTGAGTGTCTGAAACCATAGGAATAAAACGTTGCCAGTTCTGTAAAATGAACCATGTGAAGTGATAAAAAAGCAAACATTATAGAGGGACACAGTGAGACAACATGCACTGACATCCGTTCATTTTACCCTATGGCATTCAAGAGTGAGATTCTGCCGCAGAAAAGGCAAAAACCACAGATTTTGGTCGTGTGGTCATTGTGGAGGTCATGGAATACCTGAGGGACCGGCCGCCTTTTCTTTACTCTGCCTGTCTGATTGTCCTGTTGCCACGGGAACAAGGAGGAGGAGCACAGGTTAATAATAATGAAGGGAGAAAAACATAGAAAATTAAAATGAACAGTAAATCAAAAAGAGTTTCATGTCAAGTCCATAGTCTGTATATTAGGAGTGGACTGACCTCACCATAGGGTTAGCTTTAAAGTGATAGTCTGTAACTCTAAATTAATTACAAATTTTAGGAAATGTGTTAAATTGACCTCCTGGCCTAAAATGTTGATATAAAATAAGTCTTTTTATGAATTCTAATATTACGGGCAAGTCCCGCCTTCCCTTCTCTTAGCTATAGTTCAGAATCCACGATGCCGTCGAGGTTAACCAATCGAGTCATGCCAAGGGCTGTCAATCATCGGTGCTGATGCTCGCAGCTGCGCGCATGCTCAGTTGTTTGTTTTCAAGGAACCTCCGAATCAAGCCTCCATTAGGCTCTGGAACTTCATGAAAACTGAACAAAGAATTCTGAACATCCGCGCTGAGGTACTTATGTACAGTATATACTGAACCTATATCCATAATCAGATCCTCTGCAGATGTGTCCTATAATGTGCAATTCATGATAATAGCTTGTTCCGGGTTTGCCGGAACAAACTTTTTCCATTAAAACGTTAACAAATAATTCTGAAAACCTCCGTGCATGTGTATTAATAATGTATATGTATAATGTGTTCTCTGATTAACATTTAAAAAGTATTACGGAAACGTAGGCGTAGACCAATCAGAAAGGAAGGGGGAGGGAGCTTGCATTGTTTTGTTTTTTCAAATCAAGCACCTCTCTGGCCCCGTCCCAATACTCGCACTTCCACCCTCGCGCCCCTCATTTGCGCGTTCCCGATAAAGTGTGCGAGTGCGTAGGGTGTCCCAATTCTCCAGGGAGGTCTTTGGCCCCGCCCCCTTTGCGCCCCTGATCCACACTTCGCCGTAGCCTGCATCTATGCGCACTCTGGCGAAGGATATTGCCCATAATTCTTTGCGACGGGACACCAAAACAACGGGAAAATGCAATTAAATATAAATTTTGAAATATATATGCAGTATGTGTGTAAATAAGTTTTGCTATGTTACTTGGAAAGAAGCATAAACGTCTGATGAAGAATTACGGACATTGTGTTTTAACAATTTAATAACTTTTTAAAGCAAGCGTTTATATAACATTCAATTTAAACTTTACACTTAGTACAATAATCTTAGAATGTATAAAAACTGACCAGATAGTTAGTTACCCACATTTAACTTAAAATTATACCGCTATCTCTAATTAAAAACAACTAATATACATGTATTCTAACGTGTGTGAAGAAATTCACATTGTTTCCCAAAGGGTCAGACAAAATTACCTTTAATTTTTATAAAGTTTAGGTCTGAAAATGACCATCTCTTGACGAGTCGATGACGTAAACTGCACTCAGTGTGCAATGTCCCAATTCCACCTTTTGTGCACGCTTGCAACCTGCGTACTCAAACCCTTGCGCGCACTTCAAACAAATGCACACTTCATAGGAGGGCGTAGGGTGCAGTGTGGGTATTGGGACTGGGCCTCTGTCTCTCTTCCTGACAAACTCCAGACAATCCAATCCAGAAGCCAATTTGAACTTAATCTAGCTGGAGGCAATTTCCTTTTATGGACTTTTGTTCCGACTGCGTTAGTGCTGTAACAGAGGCAGAATCTGGATTTTTGTGAATCGCTTTCAATTCTTCCACGGCCGGATCACGATTAATCCAAGAATCGGATATGTCCCCCATCTCTATGAATGAAGGTATCTGATTGTAAATCCTGAGATGACCGGATTTGCCCTAACCTATTGATTTTTTTAGCTCAAATGGTGAGTGTAACACAAACGTTATATTTTTCAATGTAAGTCAACAGGAGCCAGATTGAAACATCGTCCATTAATACCTCCCTATTGGGCTTCATTGAGCTGGCCAGTTAACATTGTCCATCTATATACAGTCTATGGTCAAGTCATATGGGAGGTGAAGAACAATTGTGGGAAAAGAAAGCGGAAATATGAACTTGACTTCATCTCAGTGGGATACAGTGGTTCAATGCTTTTGACCATCTTTACACAGGAGGAGCAACGCTGCCGAATCGTCTTCTCATAACAGATTCAGAAACAAAAATAAGACGACAGAGAATGTGTGTGTCGCTGTGGTCAAAGTAACTGAGGAGAATTTACACTGTAAATGGCTCTAACAAAGACAATATCAATCAATATCAACGTTTATTGCTCTAAAATGCCATTTGTAAGCGTTGTAATTGGTTTGAAATGCTGTCATGTGAAGCACTGTACTGCATGCTGCATGAACAGTGCTTTAGAAAAAAAAGTTCATTGATTGAAATGTTGATTTGTTTAAAAGTGTTATTAACCAGGGAAAACTATAAAAAATTAGAACATTTTTGATTTACATGTTACTTCTCCTTTAAAGAAGAAGAAATTAAAAAGTAGACTATTACATCTGCCAAGTCATGTTTTGAAATAATATATTCAGTAGATCGATAAGATATATGGTGAAACATATGAATGTGAATACTGCTAGCGGCATGCAACTCCGCTACCATTAGAGGAAGGAGTAGAATGTGTGCGTGTGTTTTTTTTTTGACCATTTCTGACTGCCATATAATTGTAAGGAACATCAAATCAACTGAAAGATTTAAAAGGAAATAAATGGGAAATACTTTTGTTTTAATAAGGTCGAAAACTAGTCTGAGTGGGATGTCATAGAAGTACAAAGACATCATAAAATTACAGGACTGAGACAGGGGCGGAGCTACAGGTTTGCGCCAGGATTTCCTGATATAAGCATGGATCTAAAAAACTCCATGTGTGTTTTTGATGAGGAGCAATGTTGTAACATGGTTAAAAACTTCAAACTTTCAGGTCATATTGTGTGAGATTTCTCATACAAGCACATTGGACGCCACTGTGTTCGACTATAGATGAGGAGGAAATGAACAGGACCTGGTGTAATGTGAGATTATTGGGTTTGGTGTTGGATTTTATTTACCTGTAGATCGGGACAGGAGCGTTTGGCCGGTGGAGACTGGGACCCTTCTTCGGTCTCTTTGGACAAATGCTTCAGAACTATGCACCTCTTCACACTGAACCCTCTGCGAGACATAAAGAGAGAAAAGAATCATTGGCAAAGTTTTGGTGAAATTGGCAAAAACATAACAAAAAAGGTACAATAAAAAGTGAGCTTCATGTCACGTCCATAGTCTGTGTTTTAGGAGTGGATTGACCTTACCATAGCGTTAGCCTTAATATGGAAGAAGCCTATTTGAACATAAGCTAGTTGGAGCCAATTTCCTTATATGGGCATTCATTCCGACGGCGTTAGCTTGTGTTGCAAAGATGGCTGCAAATGAAAAGTCCTCCAAGACAACTACTGTTTGATTTAAGGCTGTACACAAATAGATTGAACTGAATTGCTAAGGCAAGCTCGACTTTTCCTGTGAATGAAGGCATCTGATTGGTCAATCCTCACATGGTCACGTCTGGACTTACACACGCACAATATAAAAATGTAAAACACCAGGATCACAGAGAGTGCTAAACTAGATTTTTTTCATCTCCAAATAGAGAGTCTGACACAAATGGTTACTGAGTCAAGAGGAGACAGAGAGTTGGAGCAAAACTTCATCCATGAGTACTTCCCTATTAGAATGGCAAAGTGTGGAAAGACAGAAGAGACATAGGAGCTCAGAATTATGAGAGGTTAGCTAGCGATATAATAAATAGAAGTAAGCTAGCGGTTTTCATCACAGGAATTACAAAGATGTCTGTTTGAATACTGTCGCAACATTTCCTCTAAAAAACCAAGGCAATATAATCACTAACAATTCCAAAACATACATACTTGTCTTTGCATTTCTGTAGAGCGTCGTCGGCCAGAGTCTTCAGGTTGATCAGTTTGTCTCCTCTGTAGAAGCCGTCTGGGCGAATGAGACAAACGCATGTATAATTGTGTGTGTGCTTCATTCACTATGTGCTAAAAACAGGAACAACAACTGGGGAAATGGACGGCCCCTGCTGCCGTTAGCTAATGATCTGATATCACCAATTATCGAAATGTGAGATTAAGAGAACCTTGCTTCGTCCCACAGTGGGGACATTTCTGCGGAATTTCACGACTACGAGCTGCTACTGATTTCTAGTTTTTTGAATAATAATAATATTAATATAGCGATGCATGCGCCGGTATTTCTATTAAAGTAGTTTCTAGTGTAGGCTGAATATGGTGTTGGCTGAAGATTAGCATGTAAACAGCCCCAGACCTTAATCCAGATAATGGGACTTTAATAAGAGCCACACTCAGAACTAAGCAAGTAACTAATGAGACCAGCCTGACTGCAGAACTGTGGATCCAAGACACATTTTAATATTTCTCTATCAGTTCTGTGTCTCTGTGCATGTGTTAAAGGCTTTCCTCTGTGTGTGTGTGTGTTTGTTTTTATTTTTGTATGTTTTGCTTATTTTATTCCAGTAATTTTTTGTTTGTTTTATTCCTGTACTTGTCTGGTGCACACTGGGGACTTTTGCACGTGTATTCCAATGTGGTTTTACTGCAGATGGCAAATAAACTGAATCTGAAAATGACCATGAATGCATGTGTAAAGTCAAAGCACGAATTTGTCTGTGTCCTGTTTTGAAAGCTGCAATAATAAAAAAAAGGCATTTTTTTCACTAGTATACAATAACTCAAAATTATAAACGGTTTACATGAAATTCACTTAATTTTTACCCAAAAAAAAGTCACTCAAAACTGTGGTTACGATGCAAATCAGTTGGCTATCTGCCTCACTTATAACAAGAGTCCCTTAGTTTTCAACATTATAACAAAATTCATGTAAAAAAACAAAACAAAAAAACAAAGAATAGATTTGTTCTTCTATACTCTTTACTACTACCAATACTCTTTATTACTACTACTACTACTACTACTATTTAGGGCTTTGACAGGAGTGACCAAAAAAAATCACTAAGATGAATGCAATGAATAAAAGAAAATAAATAAGTGATTATGCATATATGTCTTCCTCACCTGCAGTGATGAGCAGCAAGCACTCCGAGTCCATGATCCGCTCACACAGAGACTCAGAGGAGAAACCAGCAAACTGCAAATATAGTCAAAAGTGAAATGTAAAATAACATTTAGAGTCAAACCATGAAAAACAAGGGTAAAACAGATGAAAACATTCTGGTAAAAAGCGGCGGAAGGGAGCAAAAGCCAAAAACCAAATATTCCTGACAACCTCTACTGAAAACGTTATAAAGTTCATTATAGTCCATAAAAGCTTGAAGCCAGTTGGATTTGTCCCATCATTTGAGGGTGTGCACGGCGTCTTCTTCTGTGGCTAGCTTGAGGCAGTGGCTGAAGCTAATGTAGTACGTTTCCACCGGCCCTACATGGCTCGGCTCTACTCTACCTGGTTGTGTTTCCATTACCCTTTAGAATCTGGTACTGTATTCTAGCAATCTACGCACAACCAACCAGTATCCAAAGAATTTCCTTGGCAACCGTGGCTTACAGCAGCACTTAGATCAAAAGTAGAGTAGAGTAGGGTGGGGTAAGGGTTGGGTATGGAAGGGTACAGTAAGGTTAAGTAGAGTAGAGTAGAGTAGGGATGGGTAGAGTAGAGTAGAGTAGGGTAGGGAAGGGTGACCCCTCCGCAACTATACAAATCATGTTGTAAGCCTTGTTGTGATGTTGAGCTATTAATGTGCGATTCCTTTGACGAATATTCTCAATTTCACATTGACCAGTCACTCGCCACGATCAATGCTTACTCTCGAAGATATCGGCTGGTACCACCTGAAAATTAGGTACCCCAGCTTGAAACACTGGTCTTGTGTGCCTTTAAAATGGTCTCACCACGATCGAGTGCACGGCTCCAATCCGCACACAGGCCAACATGGCGACCACCAGCTCCACCACCATGGGCATGTAGATGGACACTCTGTCTCCCTTCTTCACTCCTGCCGCCACAGACACACAAACAGGACAGGGTTAGATTCCTTTCTGTTCTATTCATTCGTGTACAGCACCAAAATCTCAACAGGAGTCGTCTTGGAGGACTATAAGAAGTTGTACATTCCTCAACAACAGATCACATAATCAAACAGTTCAAACACAGGAAATGCAATAATAACAAACACATAGGAGTCATTTGTCCAATCCTAAGAGCGGCTCGTCACCATCAGCAACACCACCTCTGCTTCTGCTGCTCTTTAATATAATTGTTAGAAACTTTTACTTTCAGAATGATGTATTTATTTGTTTGTCTGAATGGATGGATGGGATTCTGTGGCTGGACACCTGAATTTCACAACCTCAGTCCTCGTTCTACAGCCTGAGTCCTGGATCTACAGCCCATCCATCTGTGGGAGCGGATTTCTCTCTCAACGTGGACCAGCCAGAGGTTTTGCTTTTTCTCCCACTGGGTTTTAGAGTTTGTCCTTGGCGATGAAGGAGGGTCGAAGGCAGGGGTGTTCAAACTGGTCCAGAAAGGGCAGCTGTGGCTGTTTTCTGTCAGACCCAGCAGGAGCAGCGCAGACTCTGCCCATTGCCTCAGGTGAGTTCAGCCTTAACCTGAAGATTTGATGAAATGGGTGGAGTCTGCTCTGCTCCTGCTGGGTCTGATGGAAAACCTGCAGCCACAGTAGCCCTTTCTGGACCAGTTTGGACACCTCTGGTCTAAGGACAGTGTAGATGATCCAGGACAGTCAACATTCAATGATATTAATGGATATTGTTAATTATCTGCCCCTTATTATCTGCCAAAGTCTCAAAGTGTTTTTATCATTGCAATTCTTGAGTTTGAACCATTTGATTCTCTGATCTGTGTTGGCGAATTTGACAGTTTTGTAAAGTCCTGAGATAACTACTGTTGTGATTTAAGGCTGGACAAGAACATTTTAAATTTGATTTCTCTTACTAGGATCAATAAAGAATATATTTAACTATGACCAATGTCTATAAATGCCCTTAAATACTAATAAATGGCCCGGATCTGCACCCACCTGTTTGGGCGTGGGACAACTCAAAAAACCCAGTGTGGATAAAGTGAGAAACCTCAGGGCGGCCCACGATGCTTTTATCTTGTTATTTCTACCCGTTTGTTCCAGATCGTCTGTGTCAAGTGGGTGATAACTGTTCTGGTGTTTAGTTTTGTAACATTGTCTAGCACACATTTGGAAATAAACGTGTCGGTATAATGGTTGTAGAAGAAGAAACGCTTTGCTTCTGTTAAACCTTTACCTTGTGACTTGAGGACGTTGGCGAACTGACAGACCTTCTGCAGCAGCTCTCTGTAGGTGACGATCAGCTCGTCACCGGGTTCATTGCCTTCCCTGGAAAAACAAACAGGAGGAGCGGTTGATTAAGTTGAATGGGGTGGTCGGAAGGTAAAGAAAGCGTTAATAATAATCAGAAGTGAATCGAGAGTGAGTCAGAGAGGGGGGTTCGGTTGAGACAGTGACTGAGCAGTGATAAAAACAGTGGAGTGTTATGAGTTGTGACACGTCTGCCTCTGCACAGCGCTGGTCTGAGAGAGAGCCACTTCCACTGTCAGGACAGATTAAAGAGAACTGTGGATCAGAGACAAAATACCAGAGAGACTAGAGAGAGCAGAGAAAGACCAGAGAGACCGGAGACCAGAGAGGCCAAAGAGAACAGTGACGAAATACCAGAGAGACTAGAGAGAGCAGAGAGAGACCAGAGAGGGCAGTGAGACCAGAGAGAGCAGAGAGAGCAGAGAGAGACCAGAGAGGGCAGTGAGACCAGAGAGAGCAGAGAGAGACCAGAGAGGGCAGTGAGACCAGAGAGAGCAGAGAGAGACCAGAGAGGGCAGTGAGGCCAGAGAGAGCAGAGAGAGCAGAGAGAGCAGAGACCAGAGAGGCCAAAGAGAACAGTGACGAAATACCAGAGACCCCAGAGGGATCAGAGAGACCAGAGAGGCCAAAGAGTACTGTGGATCAGCAACGAAATATCAGAGACTAGAGAGAGCAGAGACACCAGAGAGACTAAAGACGCCAGAGAAACCCAAGAGACCAGAGACTATTGACTGGAATAGACCAGAGAGACCAGAGACCAAGAGAAGCCAGAGAGAGCGGAGACACCAGAGAGACTAAAGACGCCAGAGAGAAACCCAAGTGACCCTAGACTTTTGACCGGAGAGACCAGAGACCAAGAGAGCACAGACAAGAGCAGAGGTGACCAGAGAGAAACCAGTCAAAACCTGGGCCTTTTAAGGATATAGAAAATCCAATGTCTGCAAGTGTCTTTTTCCTCTCAGTTTTATGCTGAAACCCATATCTATTCACTGGTAAAACTTCAAAATAAAAGACAAAGGTACATTCCCTGTGAGTTTCGGAGTGGAAAAATGTTTACTTGGTTTTGTGGAGAGGGAGGTACGGAGGCACGGAATGTTAGTAACTCACACAAAACACTGTCTCAAAATTTACTGATAGGAAAAACCGACCTTATAATCCGATCATTAGCTTTGCCCACACTACAATCAAAAGATGAAAAGATCAGTTATTCGTCCCACAGAGGGGAAATGTCAGTGTTGTAACACCAGTTACAGAATAGGAATGAGGATTAATGACTAAAAATCTCTAACTTTAGCATAGTAAAAACACAAGCATAAAATAGTGTATATTTTAGTGCAAGGAATATGCAGTTGTACGTTTACATCTGTACATGTTAGCAGCATATGACTCAAGAGACTAAAGTGACAGTGGACACGTGTGGTTCTGTATTGCACATTCTGACATTATTCAAATTATTATTGCACAGATAACAGAATCTCCTCTAATGCAACAATGGCTTCATATTGTGTTATGTTCTTGGCTCCAGGCCTGGCCCTACCTTCTACACAGCCCCAGCCATAAATCAACAATTGCACAACATTTGAGAGAGAGTTTGAGAGTTTTCGGTCTCTGGTTGATTTGGGAAAGGGAATTGAACCTGGGGCAGAGAGAGGAGAGAGAGACAGAGAGGCAGAGGGAGAGGCAGAGGGAGAGAGAGAGGCAGAGAGAGAGGCAGAGGCAGAGAGAGAGGCAGAGAGAGAGGCAGAGGGAGAGGCAGAAGGAGAGACAGAGAGAGGCAGAGGGAGAGAAGGAGGAAGAGACGGAGAGAGAGAGAGAGACAAAGGAAGAGACAGAGGAGAGAGAGTAAGGAGAGAGACTGAGGGAGAAGAGTCAGAGTGTGCTTTTGTATTGACAATAGTTTAATCAGACTTTGAACATTGAAAAGTCCTTGATATATAAAGCAGACTGAGAAGTGGACAGGTCAGTAAGTTGGCTCTGAGTGTAAACATAGTGATAGCGGCACATAGAGCCCTGCACTTGAGCCCTTGGCCCGAGGGCCCCGACGGCCCGACAGCCCGAGGGCCGGGCTTCGGGCCGATGACCGCATAATGACCTCGGACACGGGCCGGGCTCGGGCTCTTCATTTTCAGAGCGGCAGAATAGATTTACGAGCGCACCCACTGAATATAGCGTTCTATCACGCTGTAGTGTTTGTTGTTCTGTGTAGTGTTGTAATTGACGGCACATAGCATTACTTATGTAATGTGCAGATGTGTTGCAGCATCGGGGGCATCATACAGATGCGGCCGTTCACTCTGCACCACTCCGCACACACAGAACTCATTGCAACACATCACTACCATGTATAACTCCGCCCTCTAGCTAAGTCTGCGTTCATATCAGTGCGCGGCACTATATACTACGCTAAAACATTGTTATGGGAGGTTACAAAAAAAAAAAAAGGCGGGCTTGATGCGGGTTTCGGGCCTGAAAATTCAGAAACCATATCGGGCCGGGCCGGGCTGGGGCGCCACCCCCTCGGGCCAGGGCCGGGCTCGGGCCAGGGCCGGGCTCGGGCCCAGATAATAGGCCCGTGCAGGGCTCTAGCGGCACATGGGGGCTGAGCTTAAGCTAATAATACTCGACATAACAACACTGCTTCAACACTGGTTTCAAATGTCGACCTGATTCTGCAGCAAGAGCCAGAGCCAGAGCCAGAGCCAAAACCGGCCAGTCAAGAACGGCTTCATCATTAGGGCTAGGAATTGGCAAAAATGCGACAATTCGATTGTATTGCTGTATTAGGGACACAATTCAATATTACTGATTCTTAAAATAGTGCGATACAGAAATAATTGTGATTTGATTCTGTAATATAGTGCGATTAATGTTCCTCATAATAGTCAAAGACATTACAAAAATAGAGGAAAATAAGACTCAACTCAAATGTCAGTTATTATGGTCTGCACATGAGCCGAGGGTAGTGCAAGAACGTTTAGGACACAGGAGCTTATTACAGACAAGACATTATTATCTGAATAGATGACTCTCACATGAATGGGGAGCTCCCAGAACTTAAATTATTGATCTTAAATTCATTTTAATATGGATATTTTCAATGTCTTTAAATAGCAGCAGACTCACAAGATACTTTCCCCATTGACAGAACCATTTTTACTGAAAAGTTAAGTGCTTTCCATCCGTCCTCTTTGTAAGAAGCTTCACTATGAGACCAGTGATGCAACGGTGGGAATGAGGCACAGCACAAAAGGCACAAGGAGGAGGGACAGAGGAGAGACCGAGAGAGAGACCGAGAGAGAGACCGAGAGAGAGACCGGGAGAGAGAGACCGGGAGAGAGAGACCGGGAGAGAGACCGAGAGAGAGACCGAGAGAGAGACCGGGGGAGAGAAAATAATTCAGACCATGCATAAAATGACATGGACTTAACCAAAACTGAAATCATAAACATAAAAGGGTTGTTTGTTGTAGACTGATGAGGCAATTATTATTACTTATTATTTTGTTCTAGAATACAATAACGGATATGGTCGAATGGTCAAATGTCATACTGGCCCAAACTTTATCAATGTTTTTAAAGTTTTGAAAATCCTCTCAAGTCCCCCCTGTACGCACGGTTGGGAAGCACTGAACTAAACCGCTAATGATTGACAACACGACTGGATTAGTTTAGTATCAAAGAAAGTGTTGCATGACCAGTTCTGAAGTGTCCCAACAAAAGCAGAGAGATCTCCCCCTCTCTCCTTTGTTTACGCCTCCGGCTCTGAGCCTTTTGTTCTTCTCTCACTTTCACTACAAACTCTGCTTCAGTTCATACACTTTCAATTGCATTCATTGTCGTTTTCTATTAATGTTGTCATGAGGCTAACATTTCAATGTCCATTTTTACCTAAAGCAGAAAAGGTTGACAGATGAGATGCCGTTTAACGGCTGAAATTGTTGGCATTTACTTCAAAATTCAAGCCTGATAAAACTCTATTCCCAAGTTTAATCGCTACATTTGTTTTATTCCTAAATAGTTGTAGAAAAATAGATTTAGGTCAAGTGCCACAGCCCCTTTTCTGAAACTCTTTGGTTGACTTCAGCTCTTCGACCCGTACATTTGAAGTTAGAACCTGAAATACATAAATATTGACGAATGACCAAATCCAATGCAAAACCAAGATTGTTTGTTTTCCATTCGCCATTTAATTCTTTCTCAAAATCCATATAACAGCAAACCCTTGTTAAAACTATAATGTTGGGATAACGATTACCTCATAGTTTCAAAATGTAGAAAAAGAATACACAGATAAACTCAGATCTTTGGCATAATGCTCTAACTATCGGGCAGTGATTGGCTCAGTGTGCTACATAGAAGCCTAGAGTCTCTGTTAAGCCTAGCGTACATCGACAGAGAAACTGGGGACAACTAGTTGCAAGGCGGCTTTTGGCAACTGAGAGGAGATGGTGGAGATGATCAGTTGCCGAAATTGGTCGATGTGCGCGCTCTTACAACTGGAGATGATCAGTCGGTCTCCAGTTTCAGTCAGTTGCCCGTGTTCTACTTTTCGGCAACTAGTTGTCCTCAGTTTCGGAGATATGACCCGATGTGCGCGCTCCATGCGCCGCTCCAACAACGTGTGTGTATTGCGTGTATTGCGAGCCCGCAACAGTTTATGCCATCAAACACACTGTAGGTGACGGACAGTTGCTGTCGATGTACGCGCTGTTATTCCCGAGACTGGTCTGCTACTGGGAGTTGCCTGTTTTCGTCAGATTGTCGATGTGTGCGGGGCAGCAACTCATATGCGACGGATATAATCAGTTGCCAGTCCGATGTACGCTAGGCTTAATGCCTCCAGAGAACACACCGCTCCAGTGGGAGTCAAATTCAACCAGGTCAAATCTGACTTCATACAGACAGAAGGGCACGGAGGGTTCAAGATCACATATTGTTTCGTGGTTGGTTAAAATCGTACAAAGAGACCAGAGGGAGAGGCTAGAAAGAGAGAGTGAGAGAAAGTGAGAGAGAGAGTGTGAGACCAGACAGAGAAACAAGAGAGAGAGAGCAGACAGAGGCCAGAGGGAGACCACAGAGGAAGACCACAGAGGGAGACCACAGAGGAAGACCACAGAGGAAGACCACAGAGGGAGACCACAGAGGGAGACCACAGAGGAAGACCACAGAGGGAGACCACAGAGGAAGACCACAGAGGAAGACCACAGAGGAAGACCACAGAGGAAGACCACAGAGGAAGACCACAGAGGAAGACCACAGAGGGAGACCACAGAGGGAGACCACAGAGGGAGACCAAAGAGGAAGACCACAGAGGAAGACCACAGAGGAAGACCACAGAGGGAGACCACAGAGGAAGACCACAGAGGGAGACCACAGAGGGAGACCACAGAGGGAGACCACAGAGGGAGACCACAGAGGGAGACCACAGAGGGAGACCACAGAGGGAGACCACAGAGGGAGACCACAGAGGGAGACCACAGAGGGAGACCACAGAGGGAGACCACAGAGGAAGACCACAGAGGGAGACCACAGAGGGAGACCACAGAGGGAGACCACAGAGGGAGACCACAGAGGGAGACCACAGAGGGAGACCACAGCTAGGCACTGCTCTACCTGGTTGTGTTTCCATTACACAAACAAGTACCTAGAACTGGTTAAACAGGTCCGGTGGGAATAGTTTTGTTATTGATTGACTGCGGAACCTTCCGCAGTCAACCATTGGTTTTGTATTTCTTTATTCCGTCATTTTTTTTGACACGTTTCACAGCTTTCACATTTTCAACAATTTCCACAAGTTATACATCAAAACGTTCCACATGTTTGGGAGATTATTGCTATTACTTTTGGGACTTCAGCGATTTCCGGTTTTTCCGCAATCGGACAAAAATCTGCATTGAGAATTCTGCAATGCATTTTAATAGGCCCATGCATTTTAATAGGACTTCAGCTCTTTCAGACATTTCTACAGTTTCAATGATTCAACAGTTTCAAGATTCAACAGTTTCAAGGATTTCAGCAGTTTCAAGATTTCAAGAGTTTCAAGGACTTCAACAGTTTCAAGGACTTCAGCAGTTTCAAGGACTTCAACAGTTTCAAGGACTTCAGTGTAATCATGCAACCTAATAGGGATTTTTCCATGTAAACCAGTATAATGCAACTTAATAGGGGTTTTTACATGTAAACCAGTATAATGCAACTTAATGGGGATTTTTCCATGTAAACCAGTATAATGCAACTTAATAGGGGTTTTTTCATGTAAACCAGTATAATGCAACTTAATAGGGTTTTTTCCATGTAAACCAGTATAATGCAACTTAATAGGGATTTTTCCATGTAAACCAGTATAATGCAACTTAATAGGGTTTTTTTCATGTAAACCAGTATAATGCAACTTAATGGGGATTTTTCCATGTAAACCAGTATAATGCAACTTAATATGGGTTTTTACATGTAAACCATTATTTCATGTAAACCAGTATAATGCAACTTAATAGGGTTTTTTCATGTAAACCAGTATAATGCAACTTAATAGGGTTTTTTCCATGTAAACCAGTATAATGCAACTTAATAGGGTTTTTTCATGTAAACCAGTATAATGCAACTTAATAGGGTTTTTTCATGTAACCAGTATAATGCAACTTAATAGGGTTTTTTCATGTAAACCAGATAATGAACTTAATAGGGTTTTTCATGTATATGAACTAGGTTGCATTATACCACAACCAAGATAATGACCAGACCAGTTGCCAGAACCAGGTTTTACTAAACCAGTATAATGCAACTTAATAGGGTTTTTTACATGTAAACCAGTATAATGCAACTTAATGGGGATTTTTCCATGTAAACCAGAGTTTCAAGGACACTTTCAATACATTCAGTAGTTTCAAGGATTTCAGCTGTTTAAGAATTTAACCAGTTTCAAGGATATCAGGAGGTTCAAGGATTTCAGGAGTTTCCACACTTTCAACAGTTTCCAGGTTTAAAAAAAGTTTCAAGGATTTCAGGAGTTTCAATGTTTCAACAGTTTCAAGGATTTCAGGAGTTTAAAGGTTTCAACAATTTCAAGGACTTCAGGAGTTTCAAATATCTATCAAGTATTTTAACAGTTTCAAGGCTTTTTAAAGGATTTCAAGGATTTTTTTTTAGCAGATTTCCACATTAGATCTGTTCCGCAGTCAATCGCAATGGCTTCAGCCATTGCAAGTTTCTAGTTTTATATGGTATCTGTCAGTACTATAAGCTTTCAGTACATTTGTGTTTCTTCAAATGTCTACAAAGAAGGTTGAAGATTCAAACACAAAATTGTTAAATTATGTTAAAGCTTGTTGCTGGACAGACCAAAGAGACCAGAGTGACCAGAGAGAGACCAAAGACCAGAAAGAGACCAGAGAGAGAAACCAGAGTGAGAGACCAGCGTGAGAGACCAGAGAGGGAGAGAGAGACCAGAGAGAGAGACAAAAGACCAGAGAGAAAGAGAGACAAGAGACCAGAGAGAGACAAGCGACCAAAGTGAGAGACCAAAGAGAGAGAGACCAGAGAGGAAGAGAGAGACCAGAGAGAGAGACAAAAGAGAGAGAGACCAGAGAGAGAGACAAAAACCAGAAAGAAAGAGAGACAAGAGACCAGAGAGAGACAAGAGACCAAAGTGAGAGACCAAAGAGAGAGAGACCAGAGAGAGAGACAAAAACCAGAAAGAAAGAGAGACAAGAGACCAGAGAGAGACAAGAGACCAAAGTGAGAGACCAAAGAGAGAGAGACCGGAGAGGCAGAGAGAGACCAGAGAGAGAGACAAAAGACCAGAGAGAAAGAGAGACAAGAGACCAGAGTGAGACTAGAGACCAGAGTGAGAGACCAAAGAGAGAGAGACCAGAGACTAGAGACCGCAGAGTGAGAGACTAGAGAGAGACCAGAGACCAGAGTGAGAGACCAGAGTGAGAGAGACCAGGGCTGCTGTAGTTAAACACCACAAGGTATGAAGTGAATGAATAACAGCATGTGAAGCGTCTTTGCGTTATACTTTTTATCATTATTCGACAAAAACATTAGAATAGAATGAAGGAGGTGATGGAGTCTCTCTGTGTTGCAGGAGCGGGTACAGTTACAGAGTGCAGTTGGGGAAACACAGTCTGGAGAACAGTGAGGAGAAGGGTTCTCTCACTCTGGGTCTGAGCAAGATCGTCAAGCACCCCGCCTACAACTCCCATGTCACCCGGTGGGTCACAGAAGCTGAGGCCACATCTGAGGGCGGACAGCCAGTGTGTGGTTTAGTGAAGAAGAAAATAAACATCAAAATCACACAAGGCATTGGAATCATAAATAATTACAGAACATTCAAAAGAGACACAATCCTTCATTTGTATATGCACAGAACTGTTTTTAACCTGGATTTGACCAATGTCTCAAGTTTTCAGGAATTGTTCCAGCCTCCCCATGTTTAGTCCTGACTCTGGGCACCAGCAGGAAGCTAGTCCCTGTGCTCCTCAGAGTCCCAGCAGGAGGCCAGTCCCTGTGCTCCGACAGAAACCACAGTGGTTTCATATTGCACATTCAAACATATATATATATAACATATATAACATATATATATATATATAACACTGTAAACATGAACAGTCTACATTACTATGTCTGAAACACTTATAAGTTAGTATTGTGCTTCTGTCCTGTTCAGAAACGACATTGCTCTGCTGAAGCTGGAAAATCCCGTCACTTTCTCGGACACCATCAGACCCGCGTGTCTGCCACAGGAGGGCGCTGTTCTGCCTCACGGTGCTCCCTGCTACGTCACCGGTTGGGGACGCCTCGCAAGTCAGTGACCTAACCCTAACCCTAACCCTAACCCTAACAGACATAAGGACAATACTAACCCCCTAGCTCACTAAAGCACAATAAGGAAGTGCTCATAGATGAAGTTTTTCTCCAAGTCTCTCTGGCTGATTTTCACGTACATTTAAGAGTGAAGGAAAGTTGTCTGTTCCCTTTGTTTTCACCAGACAACTAAATTCAAAATACAGTTAATTCACAATCAATTTGATCAACTATTGTCATTTACAAATCTCAGCTTCAAGTCATGTCTGTTTATATGTCTCTTGTGATCGTCTCATAAAGCTTAATAATAATTATACAAATGTTTTGATAATAATATAATAAAACATGATATTTCAGTACATTCATCAGATACATATTTTCTCCCATGCTTGTCTCTTTCTCTCTATATATCCCACTCCCCCTTCTCTGTCTGTCTCACTCTCTCTTCCTCCTCTCTCTCTTTCTCTCTCTCTGTCTCTCGGTCTCTCTCCCCCTTCTCTGTCTATCTCTCTTTGTCTCTCTGTCTCCCTCTCTCTGTCTGTCTCTCTCTCCCTCCCACAGCTGAAGGTCCTGGAGCAGTGACTCTACAGCAGGCTCTCCTCCCTGTGGTCTCCTTTGAGGTTTGCTCTCAAGACGACTGGTGGAGCTTCCTCTTGACCAGAGACATGGTCTGTGCTGGAGACGGTGTCCGCTCCTCCTGCATGGTCAGTCAGACAGAGGTCGTCCCACTCCCTATAATGACCCCTGTGACTTTGTTATCGTTTTCTGTGTTCAAACAGTTTGATTTTCTGACCTGTTTTCAGAGAATCGACAGCTTTGTGAAGTCCTCCAAGACGATATCTGCTGTGATTTAGAGCAGTGTCCCCCAACCTTTTTGAGCTTGGACACACCTTTGTTAACAGCCTTTAAAGATCTGTCTCACAGTCCAGCGAGAGACAGGAAGTAAATCTCAGTCAAAACGCTTTTTTTTTCTGTGGCGTGTGCAGTTGTGTAGCATCTTCCATAAACCCAGCAGCTGATAGAGGAGCTTAAGTCTCAATTTGTATGTATTTTACCTCTCAAGAAATCACATGATAATATTTAACAAAAAAACATCTTTTGTCTCACCTTTAATGTTGTTTAAAGTAACATTTGTACACTATTTATTGTATTATTGATCAGAACTGTCATCTTAGACATGGTTCTGTTGATCCCAGAGTGACTCCACTGTCGTCACTATAACAGACGCTAAATCCTCATTGTTGGAAAATATTGGACTCATTCAAACTATACAAGGCGTACGCAGTGTTGAAAATATTTTTCATTCAATTTGGGGGGGATACTAAAGTGAAAAGTGAAAATCTCCTAAGTGTTGGTTTTCTGCACTGCCCATTCTAACTAATGAGAGAGAAGTCCCAGGACCCCATGCCATATAATGCAGTTATGACTTGTGTATGTGTAAATGTATCTCTCTCTCTATCTTTGTCTGTGTTTCAGGGGGACTCTGGGGGTCCCCTAAACTGTCAGAGCTCTGATGGCTCCTGGGCGGTGCATGGCGTGGTCAGCTTTGGCTCCAGTGAATGTAACGCTGTCCAGAAACCCAGCGTCTTCACCAGAGTCAGCGCCTACAACCAGTGGATCTCCTCTGTAAGTTCATCACTCACATGGAAAAGACAGCAGTGGACTGATCACAGACGTATCATGGAGAATATCAGAAAAAGTCTAAAAGCTTGTGTCTCAGGGATGTGACAGTATGATGTATCATTGTATCACTATGACATCATACTCCGTTTCCTGACTTTAAAAACAGAAGTAGAGACCAGACAGATCCGAGAGAGAGAGAGAGGGACCATAGAAAGAGACCAGAGAGAGAGAGCGAGACCATAGAGCGAGATCAGAGAGAAAGACCAGAGAGGGACCAGAGAGAAAGACCAGAGAGGGAGAGCCTAGAGAGAGACCAAAGAGATACCAGCGAGTGAGACCAGAAAGAGACCAGAGAGAGAGAAACCATAGAGAGAGATCAGATAGAGAGGGACCATAGAGAGAGATCAGATAGAGAGGGACCATAGAGAGAGATCAGAGAGAGACCATAGAGAGAGATCAGAAAGAGAGAGACCATAGAGAGAGATCAGAGAGAGAGAAACCATAGAGAGAGATCAGAGAGAGAGATCAGAGAGAGAGAGACCTTAGAGAGACCAGAGAGAGATCAGAGAGAGAGAAACCATAGAGAGATCAGAGAGAGAGAGACCTTAGAGAGACCATAGAGAGAGATCAGAGAGAGAGAAACCATAGAGAGAAATCAGAAAGAGAGAGACCATAGAGAGAAATCAGAGAGAGACCAGAGAGAGACCAGAGAGAGATCAGAAAGAGAGAAACCATAGAGAGAGATCAGAGAGAGAGACCATAGAGAGAGATCAGAGAGAGAGAGACCATAGAGAGAAATCAGAGAGAGACCAGAGAGAAAGAGAGATCAGAGAGAGACCAGAGCGAGAGAGAAAGAGAGATCAGAGAGAGACCAGAGAGATCAGAAAGGGAGAGACCAGAGAACAGATTGGTTCTATTACTAGTTTCCACATAAGTGTGTTTTTAGCTTCTGTCACATCAGCGTTTTGAAAGATGGTCAGTTTTTTGTCCAGGAAGGTTATCTTTCTCTGGATTATGCTTATGAAGGCAAACACCGTACATTCTGCCTGTGTGTGTTTGTGTGTACTTACTGACAACTTTAATCTCTTTGTTTTTTTGCAGACGATGACAAAGTACTGAGGACACACTGTGGCTCTGTCCGCAATAAAACCAAGCCCCTCCCTGACCTGTGTCCGTGTGCTCTCTCTCGTTACACTGATGGGATCTGTGAAAGTGGACACGCTTAGAAACACATATAAATATTACATGATACTTTACAGTGTATTTATTTTATATACTTGGAGTAAAGGAGTTGTAGAGGTGTAGAGAGAGAGAGAGAGAGAGAGAGAGAGAGAGAGAGAGAGAGAGAGAGAGAGAGAGAGAGAGAGAGAGAGAGAGAGAGAGAGAGAGAGAGAGAGAGAGAGAGAGAGAGAGAGAGAGAGAGAGAGAGAGAGAGAGAGAGAGAGAGAGAGAGACCAGGGAGAGAGAGACTAGAGAGAAAGAGAGACCAGGGAGAAAGAGAGACCAGGGAGAGAGAGAGACCAGGGAGAAAGAGAGTGACCAGAGCGAGACCAAAAAGAAAGAGATCAGGGAGAAAGAGAGAAAGAGACCAGGGAGAAAGAGAGAGACCAGAGAGAAAGAGAGACCAGGGAGAAAGAGTGACCAGAGCGAGACCAGAAAGAAAGAGATCAGGGAGAAAGAGAGAAAGAGAGACCAGGGAGAAAGAGAGATACCAGAGAGAAAGAGAGACCAGGGAGAAAGAGAGTGACCAGAGCGAGACCAGAGAGAAAGAGAGACCAGGGGGAAAGAGAGTGACCAGAGCGAGACCAGAAAGAAAGAGATCAGGGAGAAAGAGAGAGACCAGGGAGAAAGAGAAAGACCAGTGCGAGACCAGAGAGAGAGAGAGAGACCAGGGAGAAAGAGAGAGAGACCAGAGCGAGACCAGAGAGAGACCAGAAAGAAAGAGAGGCCAGGGAGAAAGAAAGACACCAGACGCAGAGAGAGAGATAGCAGAAATTATTTTAATGTAAATGTGTATTATTGAAAACTTCTTTCGTACAAACTTGACCGTGAGGTGGGTGTCTCTGGGTGTGACCTTCCTCAGCTTCTCATGTGGTAATTATTAACATCCATAACATTAGTTTTCAGTTTTCTAAATAAACAACCGTGGCTTGACCCTCAGCTGCAGACTCTGATAATGATTGGTAATTCATGGAAGTTGTTTGGTATGTTTTAGTTTTACAGGGACAGAATAATAATAATGACGAGAACACAGGGAAATGTCCCTACTGTGCATGGGACGAATAAAGGTTATCATGATCTAAAACCCCAGCAGGTGGTTTGCATCAGTAATTCGTGCTTAGGGGCGACATGTGAAAACGGCAGGATTCTCACTTTATAAGACCCAGAGAGAAACTTATCTTAATTTACACACTTTAGATCAGGTTTCTTAGCAAATATGTCACTTTATTTATAAAAAACAAGTGTGAAAATAGACAATAACAGAAGAAAGGTTTTCACAGTACAAACATTATAAAATAACCGAAATCAGCCACGAGAAGAAGTTGTAAAAAAGATCACTGCATGAGTCACTGTCCAAAATTTAATTCTGGAAGAGCGAGGGCCTCACCACAGAACAAAACAATGTCAACCAAAACAGGATAAATAAAATGTGTTCTAATAAATATTCTATATATAATCCAAGAAAACGGATGGATGGATAGATAGATCTGTTAAAAGCTGGGGTACCTACATTTCAATCCATCAATTTTCTTCCCCTGAATCAATATCTGGGTTGGGGGGATGGGGGCAATCATCTGCCACCCACTTCACAGAGCACCAGCCCCTCACTGGTCCTGCTGCAGGTGGAAGGTCCATCGGAAGACGACTCTACAGCCTTGATCTTTCAGCGGGGGCTTCAGGCAAAGTGGGGTTAAGTGTCTTGCCCAAGGACACAATGACAGCAGACATCAGTGGGAGTCGGTGGAGAAGGTTTTGTTGTGGGCTTGAACCCATGACCTTCAGCGCTCTACCATCTGAGCCACTGTCGGCCCGCACATTTCAACCCCACTTTTAAACCGCTAACTGCTTCCCATCTTTAAAAACAGTTTGGTTCTATCTCCATAAATCATCACATGTGTAATTGGCCTCGCTCACATATTTAGATCAACTTTATCAAACAGAAAAGTAACAGAGAGAGGGCCACTTTTTCACCTAAAAACGGCTCGATAGGATGGTCCTGCGGAAACTTAGAGAATTTACCACTAACTCTAAGATTCTGCTTAACTTTTATCGCTGCACCATTGAGAGTTTACTTGTTGGTTCTGTGTCTGTGTGGTTTGGAAACACAGAAAAAGAAAAGAGAGCTTTAAACAAGGTGCTCCGCTCTGCAAAGAGGACCGTGGGCTGTGAGCTTCCTGTTCTGGAGGTTCTTTATAAATCCAGACTTTTAAACAAAGCTCTTAGGATTGTTAATGACTCTTCTGGCCACCCTGGAAAAGCCTTGTTCCAGCTTCTTCCCTCTGGCAGAAGATATCGCTCTCTGAGATGCAGGACATCTCGTTATGCTAACAGATTTTTATCCACAAGCTGTTATCAGCGTGAACAGAGCACTTTAATGATTTGCACTTGTTTTGAAACTGTTTTAGTCGATCGATTTCACAGTGACATTTGTTCACTGTTTTATTTGTTTTATTTTTGTCTTTTAATGTTGTTTTATGTCTGTATTTGTCTGTGCACACTGGAGACTTTCGCTAATGTATTCCAATGTGGTTTTACTGCAAATGGCAAATAAACGGAATCCGGAATCCATAAGTCGGCTCTTGCAAACAACCAAATATTGCGTTTTTAGGTAAGATTTCTTGGTAAGGTGAGAAGAAAATGAAGGGGTTTGAATTGATTGTTTTTCAGTAGTAACTTCACTAAGCTAACGTCCACATCTTAAAACAAAAACGGACATAAACGTTGCGGATGTGGTAGTTATGTTAAAAAACATAATAAAGCCGATGAACTGTCTTTACATTTGTTTACAACTAGCTTTAGCCTGGATCTGGAAGTACTTTACATCATCACAAAACAGCATCATCGGCAAGACATCTTTGTAATATTTTTCAACATCAAACACAACTGTGATACTGAAGATAACGTGCAAAAATTCCAACTATTTGTTTTTCTTTAGGTATTTTTTCAGCATCTGTTGGCAATCATCACGGGTCATTCCTTGCATAGTGTGAGCAGTAGTAATGGAAAGGCGACGAGCGATATTTTTGGACACAGCTAAATGGAGAGCTTTGTGTGGACGGTCCGGTCACCGCGGCAACAGGGAGAAAACTTTAAACTATTCAGTGTTTCCTTCTTTACCGCCACAAAGTGAATAATGGCGTGTGTTAAAATGGATCGGAGAAAGCTAGTTCCCCGGCTCAGTCTGTATTGGGACCAGGTTACTGCACTGAGATAAGAAAAGAAGTGAAAAAAAATGCTTGAGCTACGTTACAAGATTTTCAAGTGCATTTAAGGAGACGAGCAAATCCTCACTTGGAATGATCTTGAGGATGTTTACTTTAAAACAAAACACATAAAAAACCACTAAATTAGGGAAGTGAGGACGAATCAGACTTAATGTAAGCTTATTCTGTTGTTGATTACGATTGTGCTTTTGATTGAGTACTTTTAGAGTGCCGTAGCATTTGCGTGACAAATTGTTTCCCATTTGTATATTTTAAACAAAAGACATTTCACACTTATTCCTCAGACAGATCTCACTTATTCCTCAGACAGATCTCACTTATACACCGTCACAATCTCCTCAAAATAGGCCTACTGATTCTCTTCCTCTGCTCTAACAAAATGCATTTTTCTGTTAAATACATCATCTATTGTAATGCATTGTATAAAATCATAATAAAACAGAAAAATTCTAATTGAGATATTGTTTTTAAACATGAATCATTAAATGCATTTGTAAAGTTAGAAAACACAATTTATAAAGCTATATTGATTGTTCTTTTTAAGCACTGTTTCATTTGGTCACATTCTCCTAAAATATGGACTACTATAGGTCTACTGATTCTCCAACATTTTCTTGTAAATACAAAATCCATCAAAAAGATCAAATCGACCAAGAGATGGACTGGGGGTTGGGTCAGTTTGCAGAGCCTACTGTAAAATGTTAAATCTGAGGTATCCAACTTTTTATTTCAACAGATAATACATGTGTGTCCCTACAGAACGAGTCTTGTAAAAGTAAAATATTGTGAAAAAATCAGACAACTGAGTCACTTTTTGACGCTTTGGTCAAAGTGGCTGAGAAAGGTCCTTTCTCATTTTTCTCCCTGAAAAAGCAGATCTAAAGATGTCTAAAGATAGATAGAAAATAAGCTGTAGAACCAAACTGTTTTGAGAGGCCGGGAACTAGTTGGATTTAATTGGATTTTTTGTAGTTTGAAAGCCAGGTTCCCCAGCTTCAACAACTAAACATGAATTATTACATGTTTTTCCTCAAAGATTGTGTTCCATGTAATGTTTCACCAATAAACAGCTTTATGTAGAAAAAGAAAGAAAAAGGCTGAAAAGCACTGGGCGTCTTCCAAAAATGTAACATTCCCCACTCCTAATGGCGCCTAAATCTATCTGAACATGAAGTAAGAATACTGCTGCACAAACTAACAGGACCAAGGTTATGTTGGTGAATAATGTTAGTCTCTGTTAGCAAAGCGAAAAAGTCTAGCTCATAAACATCAGAAATACAAATAGAAAGGCCATTTCCTGAGACAAAGGCAAGAGAACGTATGCAATAAACAATAACATCTGTAAAATGTGCTTGAGTTCTGGTCTAGCGTCATTGCCTCAGTTCAAATCCAGACTGATTTTAACAGTGTGTTTACAAAGCACAAGTGAAAACAAAATCCTCCTACTACAATTTAATTCCATTAATAAAAATATAAACCAGTCAATATGGAGCAGCCGGAGAATCAAGCGGATCCTTATGAGACATTAGGGAGTGATGCGTTTAGGAGCACAAGAAAAATCCAAGTTTATATTAGAAATGTATATATTTGGACAGATGTACAGTAGGCGGTCCCTCGTTACTTGCATTGTGTCGTTTTGAGTTTGGAACTAAAAACAGCAATCACGGTGTTATTGAGAGCGCCGCAAATTTTCAATGATTTCTGTTCCAATACAATACAATACAATTTATTCTTGTATAGCCCTAGGTCACAACAGAAGTCATCTCAGAGGACTTAACAAAACCATTGAAATCACCAACACAGGTCAGAGAATCAACAGTTAAAACACATGAAGAATATAAAGCACACACAGAAGAAAATGTCCATACATGTTGTAGAATGCTAAAGTGTCCTGATCATCACCAATCCTTTCTGTTGGACACTAACTGTCCAACAAGACCCTCCTGCATCGACAAGGAAAAACTCTTAAAAAACCCAGTGGGAAAAAGTGAGAAACCTTGGAGGAGAACTAGGGAAACCCACAGGGAGGGAGACCCATATGAGAAAGGGATCCGCTCCTCCGGACGGACAGGCTAATTCCAGCGGGTAGGTATTATAATACAGAATATAATTTCAGGAAACTCCAAATTCAACAATTATCACTGCATTGTGTTTAAACAATTAATTCTCTGATCTGTGTTGGCAGTTTTGTAAAGTCCTCCGAGATATCTGCTTTTACTGTTATTTAGGACTATACAAAAGTCTCTGTTACAAGACGTCGAAATCTTCCTCAGGTCTAAAGCCTTGGGTCATTTCTCCGCACGGAAATGGGACCAAAACTCATCCGACCAGCTTCATAATCCCAACGACAAGAGTGACATTTTTTAACTCAGTCTTTACACTTTTGCTTTGTAAATCCACTCAATGCTATACATTTAAACTGAAAAATGTGCACAGGAAGAGCTAAATATATGTAAAAATGTGCTACAATTTCAACCATTTATTTCATGTATTAAAAAAACCCATTTGCAGTCAGGTCAGTCCTGTTTCTACATTTCATACATTCGTAGAAAATCCCATTTTTTGACACAATAGAAAAACAAACACTAAATAAAAAAAGGTATATAAGCACAGCACGTAACTCGGCGGGTCAAAAGGAGTCCTTGGCACCCAAAACGGCACGTGTGTAGTGTCCAGTTTCGACAGAAGTGCACTTTGAAAAGTCTTTTGGCAACAATCTCCGTTTCATCTACATCCAGTGAGATTCCAAAACAGTCGGAGCTTTGAAAGAATATGGCACTTTTCTAATATTGCGTTTTGAGGCGGCAAGAAAAAAGCGTGGGAACCCTTTGGAATTATCAATATTTTTGCATAAATTTGTGATAAAAAAAAAAAAAACGAGCTGGTCCACATCCAAATCACAGCGATATACAAACTCAGAACGCAACATTTCCGTTTTCTATAGATTTGACAGTATTGGCTTTTTGAATGGTACTTATTGTGTACGTCAGAACATGTTATATCAACTTGAGTAAATGTTCTATACACCTCTAGCTTCCCACGATGGTTTCCCTAACTTTCTCTTTACATATTTTAATCATTATTTATTCATTAACTTGTTTTAACACACATCTATTTATTATCACGTCTCAGGGTCTTCCTCTTCGTTGCAGTTTCTCATAAATAATTCTGTAAAACTCTTTCAAAAAGGTATTACCAGTGCCAGAGACCCAATATTTCTCATTTAGCTGTGTTCTGTCAGTAACTTTAACCAAATTGAATGTTGTCAATGATAATCACATTTAAAACATGTTTTGGTTTAGCACAGTTATCAAGATGCTATTTTATTGTATTATATTTATTTATTCATACTTGCATACAAAACTAGCACACAAAAGAATATGCTTCTACAATACTTTTTGATGATTTCTAAAATACTTCAATAACACCATTTCTTACAAGTCAGGGTTTTGTATGTATAAATAAATTTTTTTCTTGGTATTTAAGTCTTGTGAAGGTAGTTCAGGTCAAAAATAGGACTAGGGATATAGGTATATACCAGAGAGAGAGAGAGAGAAACCAGAGAGAAAAATGGGTCGGAAAATGACTGGTTTGGAACGCTTTTATCTCTCCTCGTTTAGTAAACTAAGCAACCAACAAGATTTGCTTTTGATTTAGATCCAGCTCAGACCACACGAACAGTAATTGCAAAAAGGTTCGCTCATACTTTCACTTGCAACGTTACTGCATTATATAAAGTGCCATTTAAATCGTTCATTCGCAGTGTCTCGGCTCAAAACGCCAACGTGAAATGAACTGCTACGTCTTTAATTAAGGGGAGGAGCCTTGTCTTCATACTGCGGCGGCGGCGTTAGCGGCTCTATACTCATCTGCGACGGAGGCTGGCTGACGTCTTTCATGTGCAGTTTTTCAGATTTGATGCGCCGTATGTTGATGGGCAGGAGTTTGTTGCGGCCCTGTTTGCGGGTGGAGGGAGGGGGGGGCAGGTTGAGGGTGGCAGCGGAGGGAGGAGGGGTGTTGGTGGTGGGTCCCTCATGCTCGTACTGGAGGGAGTCCGTGGTAACCAGGTCCTCGTACGACGGCAGCTGGGACTCGCTGAGGCGAGGTCCGCTCTGAGGCACCGGGTACAGACCACTGCCCACGGCCTCCTCGTATGTGGGGACTGCGTAGCGGCGGGCCTGCTCCTCCGCTCTGGAAAAGGAGAGAGAGGGAGAGGGGGAGAGAGACTTAGCAAGAGGACTACTAGAATATCACTAGGACTACAAGAGCCGTTTTTGAAAACTAGTGGGAAATGGCAGAATGTTATGTTATTAGTGTTGCAATAATTGGGCCACAATTCAATATTATAGCAATATATTGCAATTCATGTCCCTCAAAGACATTACATGTTCAGCCAAACAATCTACTGGAGGAATGCTAACTTTTGTGGAAACTTTAATGAAGCATTCAGTTTTTTACTTTGGACTAGAGCAGAGAAAATAGTCTGAACCAAGCGGCTACTGAGGCCCGTCCTGCTCCGCCCAGAGGCTACACAATCTCTGCTGCCGTTACCTGAAGTGTTCTTATAATTACGATTGTTATCTTTTTATAATGATCAATTTATTCTTTTATTCATTGTTTGCTGTTACTGGACATCTAAATGTCTCCATCAAAAAAGTATCTATACATCTATCGATCTAGTGATTCCCCTTCATATAAATAGGGGGGAGATAGTATGAAGTTTGTGCAAGAGGAAAGACTTACGCCTCTGCGTCGGTTTGTCCGGCCACGGCCTGGCCCTGCGCTCTCTGCTGCTGCTGTTGTCTCTGGAGGAACTGCTGCTCTCGCTGCTTGTTCCTCATGCCCAGACACAGGGACAGCAGCAGCACAGCGACCCCAGACCCCACCAGCACAAAGGCCACAGAAGACGCCTTGCTCTTCTTGCCGCCGGGGTCTGGGTCCGTGGAGACGCTGTGGTTGTGGGCGGGGTCAGTCGGCACCACGCTCCACACGATCATGACGACGCCCAGCGCCACCAGCCCCACGCCCAGGGCACACAGTGCGTATTGCGAGCCCGAGTTCCCAGTGTTGTTGTTGTTGGCAACTGTGGCGGTAGCAGCAGCACGGCGGCCATTTTGGCTCGTTGGGACGTCTCCACTGGAACGCATTGTAAGGTTTGGGACAAGGTGGAGGCCAATGAAGAGATCCTGGAGTCAAAGTCTGTGGAGAACAATGGAAGGTGATTAAATAATCAAATTTAAATATCAAAGTAGCAATATGTCATTTGTATGATATTGACCGGCTATTTGGGTCATTTAGGTTTTTATAGACCCTTTTAGAGCCCCTGTGGTGGTAACATGCCAAAAAGACAGAGCAACAGTTATTACAGAAATAGGAGAGTTTCAAAATCAGAAATATCAGACCAGTCCCAGACCAGACCTTTGGCCAGTTCCAGCTCCCCCCAACTCAGACCAGTCGCAGACGCAGAAAGCGATCACCACAAGAGTAGACCAACCAGTCCGACCAGGTCTACAGCCCACATCCCCAAACTGAACAGAAACGTGTGTAAAAAAGTATTTCTAAAAACAACCAATTGTGTTGCATCGAGTCTCTATGAAGCTGTTAACAAGTGGCATAGTTTAAAAACTTCATAGTTTAATAAATACAGCCCTATGATATGCAGGATCACTCTACAAAACAACTTAAACTACATTAAAACTATAACATTATCAGGAGCCATGAAGAGTCCATTTTGTGATGAGGTGTATTTGTTATATCTGTATACATCTGTTTATACATAATGTGCATTTTTAATGAGTCATGTTTGAGCTTCTGCTGCTCTCAGCACAGACAGGACTCTGCTTAAGTGAAGTTTAGATTTGTACAGCCCCAGTTTTAGAACAAAGGACAAGGACATACTAAGGATATGATCATTTCATTATTTCAAGACTTATTGGAAATTGCAGAAACCTGATCATTTTAGACTAATATATTTACATTCTTGATGATTTATGGATGTTTATTAATATTTACGGACCATTGGTCTATGTTTTTTATCATTGCATTTCCTGAGAACAGATTGATTCTCTGATCTGTGTTTGCAAATCGACAAGTAACTGTTGCAATCCAGAGCGACAAACAAACTTGACCACTGGTAATTCAGTTCTCAGTGGAAGTGTGTAGTTTTACAGCCTTAAAAACGACTTGGGGGGACTCTGAATAAACGCAAAAAATGCAGAAAACAGCTGCTTTTTAAATTGAAGTAGTGATCTTTTTTGTGGTTCTTTTGAAAGACACGTTTGATAGTTGGATGCAAAGCGGGTGAAGAAGTTAATACATCTTAAAAACCATTTTAACTAAATTAAGTAAATCAACTCAATTTCTATTGCCCTAAATCACAACAATAATTATCCCTAAGGACTTTAAAAAGTTGCCAATTCACCAACAACAGATCAAAGAATCAAACAGTTCAAACACAGGAAGGGCAACAATAACAAACACATCGAGTCATTGGTCCACAAGGGGCAGATGTCGAATGTCCACTCAGACCTACGCTAAACATCACCTCACACAAACACAAAAATGCTATCACTGTATTTCAGTTTCATACCATCACCAAAAGGGTTTCGATATTACGGCGGATTATATCATATCGCCCAGACCTTTAGTAAAGTCGTTATTGTCTTACCTCTTTATAAAGCAGCTATAATCCACAGTCCTCCAGGTAAACTTGAACTAAAATGCGTCCACCTGCTTGCTTCTTGTAACATTGTCCAGTTTATGAGTTCTGAGACATTCATTTACTCAAGTAAAAGTACTTCTGTGAATCGGGCGTGTGTTCGAATGAGTAGTGCAAATTTACAATGCAAAAACTTCCAGTAAAGTCACCACCATTGACCTTAAGAACAGCAAGAAATACAAAGAGTGATTAGGAGAGTACTGGGAATGTGCAATGGTCTAAATCACGTTATGGTGAATGAGCAAGCAGTTTGAGTATTTTTATCAGAGGACAAAAGGGTAAGATCTACAGCCCCAGCCCTGGATCCGCAGCCTCAGCCCTGGATCCGCAGCCTCAGCCCTGGATCCGCAGCCTCAGCCCTGGATCCGCAGCCTCAGCCCTGGATCCGCAGCCTCAGCCCTGGATCCGCAACCTCAGCCCTGGATCCGCAACCTCAGCCCTGGATCCGCAGCCTCAGCCCTGGATCCGCAGCCTCAGCCCTGGATCAGCAGCCTCAGCCCTGGATCCGCAGCCTCAGCCCTGGATCCAATACTGATGAGTGCAGCGTGACTCACAATCAGGACTTGAGGAGTTTTGACACCGCTGCTGTTGCATCATTCATTCATTGCCTTCCAACATGTGACGTCAATGGGTCTTGAATTGTAAATCACAATTTCATTCGCAAAAAGTGCGTGTAGAAAACTAAAACTGAAGTAAAGCCTGCTGTTCCCATCGACCTGAGTGACTTTAGAGACAGATAAGTGTGCTCTGATATATCAAAAAAACTACAGGCTGCTTTAAAGGACATACATTCTGTCACAACCTTGTTCATTATTAAAAACAGACGTAGACCAACCCTGACCCATTTATGGACAGTGGTCATCATGTTTGTTATTAACACATTTCCTGTTATTAAACCGTTTGATTCTCTGATCTGTTGTTGGTGAATCGACAACTTTGTAACGTGACGTCCTCCGTGGCGACTGCTGTACACATATAAATTGAAATGAACATGTATCTCTGCCCCTTCTGTCTCAAAGCTCCTGTCTCAGTTCTGCAACACAATGCTTTCAATGCACCAATATTGCATCACACTTAGACTAGTTTTCTGTCTTTTAAAACACAAGCATTGGCCATAAATTAGTTTTGGCAATTCCTCAAGTGAAAAAACATTCCTTTCAATCACATGTCTGAGTTTGCAGTCTGGAATTTTCAAATTGAGAAAAAAAAAAAAACAAACCCAACCTAACACAGCTCCATCTGGTGGTAGCACAGAGAAAGAGCAGGCGATTGTATTATTTACGTTTGATACTTGTTTAATCATAAATTTTCTACTGAAGATATAATCCTAACTACAATTTGTTGCGTCATTTTTTTTTAAAGCAGTAAGTAATGCGTCTATGTCAGACTCAGGAAACTGCCATAAATAAGAGGTTAAATCCTTTTCAATATGAAAACGGAGCAGTCATGGTTACAGTTTAGAACACATCAAAGATTACACAACTTCAGTGCTTAGTGTTGTGAGCAACTGCAAATTGCTAAATAAAGGTTATTACATGTAATCAACAGATGGAATGACCAAAGACTATTGCAAAAGGTTTTATAAATATTACACAACATTGTAAATCCAGAGTGGTTTGTTTCTCCATAATAACAACAATAACAGTAATAATAAAGTATATATCAAATGTCCATAAATTCCGTTTTGATCTGGGAAAAACTGAGGATAAATACTGTATAACTTTCCTGCTGATTTAATGTAAAAATACAGTTGGACTCCAGACTCAATCTTGGATCAGTTGAACAAAAACTCGACAAAGTACAGGTAAAAAGAACAGAGCTGCAAGAAAAACGCAAAGATACCAAGTTCTTTCTGTGCAAATATCATTATACATCAACGACAAACTAATGTACTACTTCAATATAAACTCAACTGTGTTCTTAAACTTGACACTGAAATGATAGTGTACATATTTATGTAACTGCACTTCCTGTGAGCTGACATGACGACTGCCCACTCGTCTCTGAACATGTCATGGCCCGTAGACCCTCCAGTAGGTTCAGGCTGTAACTAACGGTTGCAAAATACTTTACATTCTCAAAGATGGAAACTTTCTATTGGAATTTCACAGAATATGATGGAATGTATGGAACTGGGAAATGTCATTATTGAAGGTGAGAACTTCATTGAGAACTTAGTTGAGGAAAGTATATGTTAGCATAATCTTAACTAAAACAAGCAGATGACATTCAAATACACTTTAATATTCGTGTCATTCCTCAATCACAGGCACTTAGCACACCACCACGCAGACCACGCTAACTAAACACTACAAGTAACTATTTAGAGTTAAGTATTTTATTGTTTTCTCGTGTATGGTATGTCTGGCCTGGTCACTTTGCAGAAAAAAGCCTGATGTTTCCACTAGGGATGTAAAAAACTATGAATGTTCATGACCGACCACCGAGCCTCATTAACCGGTTGAAACCGGTTAACCGCGTAGTTTAAAATAGTCCACGTTCTTTGAAATAACAGCCATTTCGAGCCGCGTACTTTTCATAAGTGCAGCTCTGCGTTCTACTGGATCAGAGTTGAGACAGCGGCGCCCAAACCCGCAACAGCTCCGGCACCTTTGCGCACAGAGAACTGCTTTTTTAATCTTCCCATTCTGCTGTGCTGCGGGTTAATACCAAAACTTTCTAGCAGCAAACGACGGCTCGTTCACATGGTCAGAGCAGCGAGTGACGAGCCGCGTCTCACAGGTCTTCACAAAAGTTTAAATACAAGTGATGTGTGTGGAGCTGATCCCGAGGACCATAAACACAAACATGTTCCATGTGGTTTGACTGGAGCCGCGTATTTGCGCAAATCCTTTGGGCTCCGTGACACAGAGGAGCGCGACAGACCGGTGTGTGTGTGTGTGTGTGTGTGTGTGTGTGTGTGTGTGTGTATGTATATATGTGTGTGTGTGTAAATGTAAGCTCCAATGTAGTTCTGACTCGCGCCAGTGTGCAACTTTGACGGTAACAGAGGGGAGAGATGATGCGTGTGGATGTTACGTATGGAGAGGGGGAAAGTGTGTGTGCGTGTGTGTGTGTGTGTGCGCGCGTGTGCATATGTGGCCCGTGCGGCGTGAGAGTCGTCCCGGAGTTTATAATACATGGGCGCACACAGCTAGATACAGACCCGCTCGTCACACCGTGCAAATAGGGCTTAAAATAGCGTTATTAAGAGACCTCCCCTCTCCCCTTTCTCTCTTTTTTAACCGACAGCTTTGACCGGTTAACGCTGTGACGGTCAACCACCGGTTAAACGGTCGCCGATTTACATCCCTAGTTTCCACCCCCATGCTTCACAGTAGGTATGGTGTTCTTTGGATGAAACTCAGCATTTTTTCTACTCCAAACACGAGTTGAGTTCTATTTTGGTTTAATCTGACCATATGACAT